CAACCCTTCTGAGTTGGGAAATTTGGTTTTCCTCCCTCCCTTTGAGTCACAGACTGGTTTGGGTTGAAAGGGACCTTCCTGTTCATCCAATCCCACACCTGCCAGGGCAGGGAGACACTTCACTGTCCCAGGTTGCTCCAAGCCCACCCAACCTGGCCTTGGACACCTCTGGACAAACCCTTCCTGCCCAAACCCCAAACCCTGCTCTCCCACGGTCTGCTCTGGCCTGGAGTGACACATGGGGACAGTTGCCACGCTGTCAGTGGAGCCCTTTGGAGGAGGGTCCTGCCCCCCAGAGCTGTGGAATCACCCTGTTCCTTGCACTCTCTCCTCACTGCAAACCCCACAAACAACACAAACACCCTTTGTAAGGCTCTGATCTGCACTGCTGGTGTGGGATCCCCTCTGTGGCTCAGCAGCAGCTCCTGTGTTGCTGTGGAGTCCCTCAGCCCCTTCAGTCGGACTTTGCACCCAATAAAAACCTAATGCTGAAAAAAACCTTTCAGCAGCAGCGAGATGATAAATAATATCCAAGAACAGGGAGTCCTGTATTGTCAGCTCACACAAACACTGGCACAAAGGCTCTCCAGCATCTGCTGCTCTGTTTATTTTTGTTGCAGGGGATGGGAGTGCACGAACTCCAAACCCCCCCCAGCAGCTTTGTGGCCCACCTGGGGACATCTGTGCTCTCCTCGGGAGTTTTAAATGATGCCTCTGCACTTCCCACAAGCTGGAATAAACACAGGGAAGCAGCCTGGCTTGGTTTTATTCCCGTGCCTTTTCCAGGGGCATCACCACCAACCACACCAGATCCAAATGGCTAAACAACAACTGAAATGTAACAAACCAACAGAAATTTTCCTTGTGGTTTTCAGTTTTGAGGTCATTTTTGGTGCAATCTAAATAAAAGACTAGATTTTTCCACTGTCCTCTCAGCTCTGCCTTGGGAACAACTCGAGCCCACGGACACCTCAACGTCCTGCTCACTTCTCCCTCCTCAGACCCTGCCAGGTTTTTTATCCCAGACAAAAGGTCTACACTGCAAAAACGAGGGAAACTGCTGAAATCTGTCTTAAGGGAAATCATTATTTAATCCCAAAAAGTCTGTGTGCCTCTATCATAAACCAGCCAGGATATTCACTCCTATGTTGTAGTTTTCGTGAGCTCCTAAAGCTCCTGAAGTGAGGAACTATCACGAGCAGGACTTTCAGATCCTGCAAACACACTCAGAAAATTTCATTTCTATCAAAGCCAGAAGCATCCTTACCATATTTTCTGGTTTGTGTCTCATTTTGTTTAAGGGACCTTCCCAAACACCGCTCTTCATTCTCGCAAACAGGAAATCTTTTACACACGATCAAGGAAGTCGGAGGCTTGTCCCAAACAAAAGGCACAATCTCCTCAGCTTCTGAGAGGGTTTTATTTTCCTGAAGTGATAAATCAGCAGGGCATGGATGGCTGCATTTCACTCACTTCTTGCTCCAATTTACTGCACCTGAGGGAACAAGTGTAACAAAAGGTATAATTAAAACCTGCGCGGATGCTCCGGGCCCTGGGCCAGCGGCCACAGCCCAGCACGTTCTCGGGGCACTTGATGGCAGATAAGGGATAAATCCACGATATCCAGATATTTAGAAATACAGGAAAGCAGGGAAACGGCCCCCTGTGGCAGCCAAAGGGAGGGCAGGGAGCAGGGGGATGCACTGCAGCCACAACAGCAGCTCCAGAGCAGATCCAAGGGTTGGATGGAGATGGGAAGTGCCTTTGGATTGTTGGGATTGTCAGCCTGCAGGGAAGGGATGGTGGTCACTCCTGGCAGCAGGGCACCCTCTGGAGTTGGTGAATCTGTCCCTCCTGTCACACTGGGGGAAAGAAGATGCTTTCCCTGCTGCCTTTCCCCCCATCCCAGGCCAGGGATCAGAAGCTGCAGCTGATGGACCCAGCTCTGCAGGAGGGCAGAACCAACCACCCCAAGGGTAGCACAGGAACTTCAGCACTGAAAAGGTGTGAGGGGAAAATTCCAGCCCAGCTCGTTTCACATCCCTCCCATCTTACAGACTGGGCTCTGCTAATTTTAGAGTCCCTGTCTGAGACTGCCCAGTTCTGATCTGGGAAGGAAAAGGGATCCAGCAGCAGAAAATGGCTGCAGGTTTTGGCAGGGGTTTGATCCCTGCATCTATTTAATGGCCCTTGCTACACTTCTGAATCAATACAAGCTTTACCACTGACAACAGCACACATGGACATCTCTGGAATTAGAATTTTTAATCTTCTCAAATTGCACTTCCAATACCTCAAAGCCTTAAGAGAGGAAGTGCACAGCAGGAACAACTACAGACCCCAATTCCTCCACTGAAATTCCAATTCCAACATTGAAAATGCCCCAGTGACTCCAGTGACACCGTGGGCTGGTCCCACTGGTGAGGAATGACCACGGAGTGTCCCAAGAATGAACCCCCAGAGCAACAAAAAGAGCTGACCCAGCTCAAGGGTCATCACTTGGAGTTCCTGCAGCTCCAGACACAGCAGAGCCAAACCTCACGGACCTGAGAGCTCCTTTCACCTGGGAAATGGAGGGTTCCCAAATCAGAACCACACTTACTGCCAACAGCAACACCGAGCAAACACCCAACTCACCTCTGGGAAGCAACAATAAGTGCACAGAACTGCTGGATGCTCGCTCCCACCTCTCAGTTTTTTGGATTGACAAACACATTTAGAGCTTAATGAAAACAGCAAAGGCACTTCAAAGCAGGAGAACAGTTATTAAAAATTATCTGACAAGGAGTGACACTTCATCTGCATCCACAGTATTTAATTTGTTTGAATAATATAGTTACAGATAAACAGGTTCACTCCATATACAATTACCAATACCTTTGTTTTAATACAGCTCATATTCCAGTACATCAACACTATTTTATTTACAAGGTATTTATGTACATTAACATCTTTCTAAAGTCAGTGCATTGTCAATAAGTTTTTATACAATAATTTACAAAGTGAATGTAGTTAATAGTTAACTTAATAAATTTACTACTATATCATGAATTAATTTAATTTAAAAAATTAATTACAACCAATGTAACAAACACAGAAGATCAAATAACATTAGTAGATTGTGCTACCTGCTTAAATAAAACATTTTAAAGTAAATCAGTTGAAAATCTTTCACTTTTCATGGAGTTTGCTGAGGGAGGAGCAGACAAGGGGGTACTGAAAAAGCTTCTACCCTAGAAATTCCCAGGTCATGTTTGCTCAATGTTCAGACCACTTTGAAGATAAAAGACCAGAGAGGGTAAGGAGAACACCTGACAGGTAAGACAAGAGTCATTTTTGGAACAGATCTGCTGCCCCTGCAGAGGCACCAGAGGCAGGGGGGGCTGTGCTGGGAACAGCCAGAGCAGCTGCCACCACTCCTTCCGTGGGGACAGCTGAGACCTCCCTGCAGTGACAAACACTGAGGGGATGGCACCCCTGTCCAACCCCTCAGGGTGGATCCAAACATGAATGCCAGGGAACCACGTCAGGAACAGCTCTGTCAGTGCAGATAAAGGACCCAGAGCGCTGGGAAGACGACACAGGACAAAATGAACGAGCTGCTTGAACTCAGCCGAAGGAAAAAAAAAGGCCAAAAGAGTGAGATTTTTCTCTCCATTCAGATATGCAAACGAGTTAACACTGAAAACGTTTAAGGAAATGCCTGCTCAAAAAACAACCATCTTTTTATCCAGTCTCTGCTAAGACTCAGTCACACCTTCCCTCCCTCAACAGGCTCCCTGAGTCACAGAGCACGTTGCAAGGGCAGGGAAAGCAATTCTGGTTTAATTGCAAGTATTTGCATAAACTGTTGTTAAAAAAAAAAAAAAAAAAAAAAAAAAAAAAAAAAAAAAAAAAAAAAAAAAAAAAAAAAAAAAAAAGGAAGAAAATTTGAAAAGGCAACCAAATTTTGAAACCAAGAAACTCCATTAAATTATGAAACAAACAAAAAAAAAATATATCTCCATCCATGAATGCTACGAGAGCTCCCTGACAGCCACAGCTTCGCCTCCCTTGGAAATACACAGTGGATAATTCACAGCCATTCACTCCAGAGCCCTTACAACAACAACAGCAACAAAAAATAAACCAAACTCTGGTTTTTCAATTCAATTATATACGCATTTTTTCAAAAGTGCAAATTTAAAAGCAACACCAGTCATGAAACACAAGCTCAGGCATCTCTCGTTCCGCAGCTGGGAGCGCTCCGTGCAATGTGCACGCTTCGAGACACCGGGAGTGTCACCACAACCACTCTCTCCAGCCTGAAGCCTCTCCTGGAGGCAGCTCCGAGGTTTGAGCCAGCCCTCTTCAGGCAGAAAAGCCATTCCTGAAACATGTTGATCTGCACGGCCAACACGTGGAGAAAACACAAGATCATAAACCATCCAAGTGCAGAAATAATTCTCTTGGCAAAGGATGATTTGGTTGTGCTCCCAACGTACAGAAAGAAAGCAACCGACACACATCAGTGGTGGCAAAACTGCAAACTTCTCCTACTCTCGACGATAATTCTTTCACTTTGTGCACTTTTCCTTCTCTTGCTTTCCCTGTTTTGCCAATAAAATGCAATAAAACTGCAGGAAAAAGGAGGTAGCAATATCATGTTGTCCAAAGACAACACTACAAATTGGTTTTCCCCATCACCTTAAACCTAACGAGAGCCTCGGGGGGGGTTGTTAGAACAGTTGGTAAACTCTACACTACTTCGTTTAGCTCTTATTTGGACTGTTTAATTTAGCTCTTATTTGGTCCTAGGTGGCTTTTCTCAAACCATTTGATTTAAAGGCCAGTGGCAGTCTCAGCCTGACGTCCAACATCAGAAACGTTCAGAGCGTGTAGTGAGAAAACAGAACAAAAGGATACTATTTGATATTAACTGGGTAACCAGGGGGGGTTCTTCTTGTGCTTTCAAGCCCACGGGCCACGACAACCCCGGGTGGGTGCCCAGGACACCCCGACCCCCCGGGCCGGGCAGCCCCTCCTCACTGCAGCACGCAGTACTTCTTGTAGTCGGACTCGAAGTCCTCGTCCATGCTGCTCGTGTCTGCCATCTTCTTGCCGTCGATCTTGGGCAGGAACTGGGCATAGTCCACCCCCTGCTGCTCGTAGAACAGAATGTAGGCAGAGTCCGTGTCGATCTCGTCCGGGTGCAGCTCCTGGGACACGGGAAACACGGGAGGGGAGACGCAACGGGATGATCGTGTTACTGTCACCCAAATTAAAACACACAAGACTGCCCTGGCAGCTCCTTTTAACTGTCTGCTTGTAACCAAAAAAAAAAAAAAATCCTATTTCTGCTCTCTTATCTGTTACCAGGCTCCACTAATTACTGGAGGAGTCTGACAAATTTTATAGTGATAAATGCAAATACCTAAAAACGTCGGAACTGAATTATTCACTAATTGAATACAAACTGCTTCCATCATGAAAATACATTCTTGGATCCCTATTTTTAGTAGTTTTCCCCATCTCTGTACAAAATAAGCATCTTTAAGTGTGGGAGCAGCTGATGAACAGATGTCACCTTGGGAAAAAAAAATCTCACGAACAATTTCAATTAATAATTTTAATATTTCTCTGCTGCAGCTTTTGAGATGCTCATGATTTCAAACAGCTCTCACTGTGTGGTCTAGTGGAAGGTGTCCTTCCCCCTTCCCACCCAAACCATTCCATGAGTCCATGACTCTAGAACGTAGTTTCTCTGGCAGTAGGTAACCAGACTATTATTTGCTAGACAAATCATGCCTTACTTGCTAGAAGAAGCAGAGATTTACCTTACAGCTGCTGTCATTGTAGCAGTACCACTTGTTGTTCGGGTTTTTGGCATAAGTGACGTAATGACCCCCTCCCATAATTCCTGAATGGCACTGAAGGGAACGAAGAAGAGAATCAGTTCTGGATCAAGGAAACGACCGACAAATTCATTATCTCCGAGCGACAATGACAATCTGACTTTGCACACCCAGACAGAACACAGGGCACAGAGACACTTCAGTTGTACTCAGTGCCAGGCACGTCCCCCAGCGGAGCTGTCCTACACGTACCGAGATTGCATAAAGGTTGTAGATGGGGTTCGCACACACGTCCTCTCTTTGGTCGTCGGCGCCGTCGTCCTCGCTGTGGGTGTCCCCCTGCCCGCCCAGCCCGTTGCTGAAGGAGCTCTGCTCGCACAGGTACCCGTTGGCCAGAGGGCCCTCGCTGTCCTGGGCACCGCACAGTTCACTCTGGCTGCCCCCCAGGGCCTGCCCCTTGCTGAGGGCATCGCCCTGCTCGGGCTCGGTACCGTTCTCCTTGTTCACATCCAAGTTCTCTTTGCTGCTGGACAGTTTGTTCTTGCCCAGCTGGGGCAGTCGCAGCCGCCCTTTGCCCCTCCCCAAAGTCCTCGGGCTGCTGTTTGGGCTGCTGTTTTTACTCGAGGGACAGCTGGTTCCACCTTTCCTCCCCAGGGATGGAGATGCTGAAACAAGAAAGCACGTGGGTTACCAGGACAAGTAAACACACAGCCTGGGTTTCTCCTTAAAAAGTGATTTTTTGAATAACCAAACATTGAGAAAGCTCCACTCTTTCATTGGAGCTAATGAGTAATACATGGAATTAAAAAATCTCGGTGCACACCTAGGAACTGAAATTTACCTCTTTTATGCAGGAGCACGCTCCTCACTCTTATTCCAGCCCACTTACACAAGTGCCAATATGTGCTGTCACTGAGCAACTTTTTTACTTTTCTTTCATTTTTTATGGTAAAAGCTTCACTAAGAAATGTTGAGCTTTGGCCAAAACACTCAAAGGTTCAGATTTTGTTGCTAATACAATTTCCCCCCCCTCCACAGAGCAGCACTGGCTGGATGTGCCCATCTCCCCACCTACCTTTGACACTGTTCAGGACAGAGGTGTTGAGGGAGGAGGGGCTCCTGTTGAGTGTCTCCCCCTCCCCTGGTGTGCCAGAGCCCTGCAGTTCTGTTTTCCTGGGCTCCCCTGGGAGGTTCCGCGGCTCCGGCTCCACCTGGAGCGTCAGCGCCTTCCTTTGGAAATGACTTGGATCCCTTTGTACCAAAAAGGCACTTGGGTCAAAATTTTCCCGGGGAAATTTGACGATTTTCTGGGATTTTATCCAGCGGCCGTTTACAAACTGAAACCTTTTCAGGTGAATGATCTGAGGAGAGAAGTTGGAGAAAATGAAAGAAGGACAACTACATCCCAGAGAGGAATTTCAGTGTTTAAAGGGAGTTTTTCCCAAAACATGCACATTTTATCGCTTGCTAATAAATAAACACAGTGACAAAGCTGCATGTGACAACTTGGATTCTGGGATCAAGGTGGTAAAATAGGAAACTGATGTTTTCATGGGGAATTGATGGAAAGGGTTGCTTCAACTCAGTGATCAGCACTGCCTGTTTTGAATAACCAACCGAATTTGAAAAGTAAGAAATGCAGGTGTTCCCCAAGTAAAGGTTATGTTACCAGAAAGCCCATCTGAGCGTGAATTCGGTGCCACAACAGCTCACACCGCACACAAACCACCACCATTTCCTGCCATGGAGCAGCTACAAACGTTCAGCAGGAACTGGGGTTTGCTTTATTTGCTGCACACAGCAAATCAGAGAGACTGTGAGCAGAGCAAACCACCTTCCTCACCACAGGCGGTTCAGGTTTGGCAACAACGTACTGGGGGTTTGCTGCTGTGGAGGAAAACTGCACAAGCTCGTACCAAAATAGGGGGAAGTCTCCAGAGATCCAGCTTTTTGGTGGCCAAACAATGGGTCTTGCACTTGGAGCAGTAGTACATCTCATCCTCCCCCAGCTCCTCCTCGCTGGTGAAGGCTCGCAGACAACTGTCCAGGTTGATGGGCTCGGCCTGCGCCCGCCGGCTCTGCTCGACACTCTCGTGCTCCTCCACGATCTGAGGGGACACAACACTGCATCTGACTTGGAAAGGCACACACACTGCTCAGAGGGAGGCTCTGCCCCCAGCACCGCGCGAGGAACTCCAGGGAGTTGTTCAGAATCGAAGATTAAAACCTGATGTGCCAAGTTCGAGCAGAAAATTTCAGTTCAGTTCTGAAGAGGCAGATACAAAAATAACTCACTGTCCTTGTTCTTGGGCTCTGCTCACAAATTATCCATAAAGCACAACCGCATAGATCCAACTCACAAGTTTGTCCAGTTGTTCTCCATTAACTCAAGCGCAGTCTTTTACCTTTACATAGGTTTTGTTGACTCAGTGGGGTTTACTCACATGCATAACTGTTTATGGTTACAGAAAATTCATCAAATTAACATATTTTGTAATAGATTATGGAGACTAGATCAAAAGCAACTCACAACAGGCAGGTGGTTGCTTAAAAGCCAATCCCTTTAAGAGGTCTAACACCGGCATCAATTTACCCAGAACGTACTGCTCCGTGATCACTGACTCTACACTGAGAGAACACTGACTGCAGGAGCACCAAACAAATCAAAACTCAGGGTTTGTGCTGGGCTCTCACCCGCTCCTGGGAGGTCTGGTAGCGCAGGTGGAGGGCGGTGGGGTCCCAGTCCACGGCTATGTAAGCGTTGCCCACACAGGCTCTGTCCTCCGAGCACTCGATCTTACAGCCCCGGCAGAACCTGCACCACGACACATCGATGAGGGTCTGCCCAACCACTGTCACCTCCTCAGTTCTGCTTCCTGGCTTTTCAATATGCACCCTCCCAGCTCCAGGCCTCGCCCCCGGGGTCAGAGGCGTTTTTATAGAGCAATATTCAGTGTCATTGGCTGTTTTACCACAAAACTTTGAACTGTAACAAGAGAGGAGAAACTGAAGCAGTTGGGGGAACCCAACCACCACCACCACCTGCTGCAGCTGAGCCAGGGAAGGCTCCTTAGTGGAAGGTGTCCCTGCCTTTGCAAGGGGTTGGAACAAGATGAGCTTTAAGGTCCCTCCCATTCCAATCTTATGACCCTCAAAAACTACACTGCTTTGTCTCCTCAAATCATTTACTCCATGATGACCAATTCACGTGATTATTTAGCTGCAAGATACTTTTTTATTTAATGAGTATATGTCTCGATACCTTTCCAGGAGAGGTCTGGAATTTTTGTTCAGGAAAATTCCCAAGCATCCTTCCAAGGTGAATTCCTTATTGCCCACCTTAGTTCTTCCCCTTCAGATGGCACAGGAACTCACAAGGGGAGCTGATTTACATCTAAAGTTTGGGTTTGTATGAACCCCCCAAAATCATCCAAGGATGTGGACACACATGGCTGCACGTACACATACATGGAATATTCTGAGAGGATTTTGATAATCTCACGTCTGTCTCCTAATTTAAAGTTTCTGTGCCAGCTTTCAGCTCTCCAAGTCACAGAAGCTGCACTACAGTGCAAGTCTGCCTTGGGAGAGATGTGGTGAAATTGGATTCTAGATTCTTATTGTTTGACATTACCCCTGAAATCTGAAATGCAGCACGGGGCCATTACCATAAATTACCTTTCTGCTGGAGTGATTCCCTGCTGTAAATCGAAAAAAGGACAATTTACCTGTACCACGGACACCAAGCACAAGAATTTCCATCCTTCTGAACTACCCTGAGGGTGAAGGGATACTGATACCCCATGCTGTCATCACTGAAACAGAAGAGAACACAACATCAAACAGCAGCACTCACTCACTGCCATACCCCCCTTCACTAGGCTTGTGTCTACTTAAACAAAAAACCCTTCAAACTACAATTTTGATTAAATTAAGCTATTAAAACCTGCCTTTACGTGGCCTAAATTTGTCAGATGTGAATAATTATCAATCCCTGGGTTAGAACAAATCAACCCATTTGTGCAAAGCCAACCTTCAAGTGCAGCAGCATTTAACTGCTGCAAAAAGGATTAGAAGGTATTTTTATTATTGCCATCATTATGAGAAATCAAACCTGATGGAGATTAATGCAATTTTAGATCTTGTAGCCAAGTTTAAGGCACTGTGCTGCATCGGGGGGGAGGTGGCAGAGGCTGAGCTGCCCCACTCACCAGTCCTGGGCATGGTTGCTGGCCTCCTGGGGAGGGAGGGGGCTGGCCAGCCTGGACACCTGGATCCACACGGCATCGTACAGGTCCCTTTTCCGGGTGTGCACCGTGCAGGGGACAATGAGGGGCATCCCAAAGAGGCTGGGGCGGTTCTTCTGGGATGAAAGGAAGTACAGCTCTGTCCTCATCTGCGTGTGGGAAAGAAAAGGACTCACAGGGAGAGGTGCATTAACCCACGGCCCCCGTAATTACCTGGATGCTGACCTTGTGACTTATTTCAGGCTCTGGCAATTACAATTAACCGTTAATTCTACTAAAAGCACTCTATTTCCAGTACTAAATACTGGAAATTTTGACCACTGGCTTGACAAATGTTGGTATTTAATGATATCATGGCAATGTTATTTAGGCACTGGACCCCATCAAACACAAACCTTTCAGTCATGTACAGTATTTTATATTTCATGTGATGTATGTGAGGGACGTGCATTCACGCTCCCTCCTCTCAGGAAATACAGACTCATTATCCTATGGACATTTCTGACAGTTTGTTCCCCAGCGTGTGCCCCCCTGCCCTGCCCGAGGCACTGACCATTTTCCTGTGCACTGCAATGATGTAGCCCGTGCAGGGGCTGTCAGCCAGCGAGGCCACGTGGCCGTTGAGGGCCCAGCCGGGCGGGCTGCGCTCGCTCCCACACGGCACCACCGTGCTCGGCATCCCGTTGGGAATGAGGGGCTTGGGAAGGTCCCCGTTCATCAGGATGGTGGGGGCTCCGTTAGCTGAGGGTCCAGTGGAGATGTCTGCAGGGAGACAGTTCAATTCTCAGTTATCCACAGCAAGCAGCCCCCAGCCCGGGATCCCCATCCTCCCGTTCCGGGTGGGATCACAATGGATCACCCACCCACAGCTGCCTCCTGGAGCAGCTCTTGCTCCTTTCCCTTAATCCTCACTCACTACCAGAGGCAAAGTTTTCTCCCCCAATTTCCCAACCCCAGGGCACTGTGCAGTTCAAACAAAGAGGAAAATCAGTGTGTTCTCTCACCTGTCTGCACAGGGCTGGACGCTGATGTGGGGGATCCTGGGATGGGGATCTCAAACGCACACAAGAACCCGCTCACTGACAACCTCACCTTCTGGTTGTCCTGAGGGAAGTTCTTCAATGAAGAAGGGAAAGTCAGTCAGGCATTTCAGTCTTTTATCTGATTCAAACATGCTTTGCTCTTTTGAAAACAGGATATCTGGCAGCTCCTCTCTCCCTCCCATCTGATTTCTTACCCCTTTCCAGAGGAATAAAGGAACCCACCCCCCTGCAGCAACACCTGAGCGTTACTGAGGGTTCTCTAAACACACTGGGAACAGTTTCATTTCAAGCAGTGACAACAAAACATATCTACACATACACTATAGAGAACTAAGCCAGTCATTACTTGTGCCCCCAACACCTTGACAGTGGTGAACTCATCACTTCTAACTTGAGATTTATTGCCTCCAGATGATTCTACGCTTTTCTCCTAAAAATACCATTAGCAATCCATTTTAATTTATTTACAGCAGGCTTACTGTTTAAGAACAAAACAGGAGTTCATGGAGAGATACAGCCAAGCTGACTGTTTAATCATATTTTTAGTTCCATTATGTCACAGTTCTTGTACACAAAACTTAATGTCAAAAAGAAAGAAGTAACAAAAAAAAAAATGATTCATCTTTTTTCTTCTCACCTTTATATTGGAGCTGTGCACCTCTGCAAGCAGAATCTGCTCTGGTTTGAGCCCACAGAGTTCACTTAACTGTTTTTTCAACCCTGTGTACTTTTCATCCATGTTCAATCTCAGGCCATATCGAACAGGAGTGGTACCATCTAATTTAATTACTGTAAAGGGGCAAAGAAACACACTGGTCAGCAAACCAGGGAAATTCAAATGAGAATAATCCATTACCGATCGGAAAATATTTTTTCCCCACTTGAAGTTATGATGTATTTTATTTTCCCAGTCAACTTCCAAGGTCTGCAGAAAACACCAGACAATGTCTCTTTGCACAGGCAGTAGAAAATGGTTTCAAAATTTGGTTCACTTTTTTTATGATCTTTTCTTTTGCCTCTTTTCCAGCAATACAGGGGGGGTCATGACTGTATTTTCCCCCAGCCCTTGTTTTTGCTTCAGGCAGATTTAGGACAACCTCCCCAAGACAGTGAATAGAAGCAAAATTCTCAAAACCTCCATTTTACACATTCCTGTTCCATGTCCCCCAATCAAGGTTGAAAATGTGCCATCTAAGTTCTGTTTTTAAAGGTTTTATCTTAGTCTAACTGCATTGCAATGAAAATCCTTGTACTCACATTAAAATACTAAATAAGTACTAACACAAGAAAATGTGATGTTCTGTAGCTGTTCTACATTTGCAACTTTTATTTTAGCAATGAGAGCTCAGAAGGAGTTAAACACCCCCACTCACCTGTAATTTCTAGGTGCATGTAGCTGTCCATTGGCAAAGGCAAGGATAAAAAATTAAAGGGGTCAAACCTAACACTTATATGGCCACAGGTTTTACATTTCACTTGTGACTTGAGCTGCCCGTGAAATAAATCTACAACAATGGATCTGTTTCTTCTCAGATGGTTTTCCCAGGCCTGCAATGAAGCACAAAAAAATAATAAAAAGTTAGAAACTGAAGGCTGTTCCTTTAATCTCCAAAGTTACACAGGCCCATGGGAGTCAAATTATTTCCACAGAAGCTGTGTAGTAAGTTCTAATAAATAGGAAGTATTTGGTTTCAACATAAGCAAAGTTCTCAACTGACAGAAAAATCGAGGCAGGACATAATTTAAAGTCTTTCTGAGAGGATCATCAGGTACCTTGAAATATTTTAGTGCCATAAGGACAGAAAACCCAGCCCACAAACCCCAACCCAACAATTTCCAGCCCTACCTCTGCTGCCACTTCCCAGTCTGGTCGCCCATCGCTGTCCTTCAGTTCGACGTATGGCTTGTCATGAACTCTGTTCAAATCCTCGTGGAGCCCATCCAGAAGGAAAGCCAGAAGCTCCTGGGAGTCTTGCTGTTGGAAGCCATTAAATCTTGGAGCATATTTTGCTATTGTCCACTGGAAAAGAATGGCAAAGTAATTTCAATCACAAGGCAGAGAGTTGTGACAATAAATCACAATATCGGAGACAAGACACGTGCTGTCGATGGGCACGAATTCAACTGCCCAGAGCTAAAGGGAACCCTTGGCTTTCAGAACAAAAGCTCATTTACAGGCAAATGCAGCATCTTTTGTCCCTAGAAAGGGCTACAAAAGCCATTATTTTATGCCACAGCCTCTGAGCCATATCAGGTCATTCCTCTGACCTCACAGCCACATATTCCACAGAGTTCCTGAGCACTGATGAGCACTGGCCTCTTCCAGGGCATCTGCCCTTGGCACTGCCCCTTCCTGCACCCTTTACAGGCAAGAAAGGAAATTCCCTGATGAGTCTGGAGCAGCAAAGGGGATGTCTGACTGGCCAGGATGTCACTGGTTCAGAGCCAACTTCCAACACATCCAGGTGTCCTTCCCTTTCTCTAGGGGAGACACTCTTTGAGTCTCCAGCCCATTACAGTGCAGGCAACACGAGGAAAAAGCCCACTGAAATCTTTATTCCAGGGATTCCTGTTTTCTCCCAGCACTCCCAGCCCAGACTCACCCTCAGCTTTAGGGGGGCAATGTTCTTCTGGGTCCCACTCCACAGCTCCTGAACCAGATCCCCGTAGCACTTGGCCATGTGGCCTTTCATTCCTATGGGATTTGTCCTAGAAATTCCAAAGTAATTAACACCATATTAAAACGAACACAGTTCAAGCCTGCAGATACACCAGGAAGTGGAAAAGCTTCTTGCTGCCAGAAACAAGAGGTTATATTTTCACGTATCTAATCAGTATCTGCTGCGGAGCTGATAACACTGAAAAGATTTTTTTAAATTTTTAAACTCAGCTTTCAGGACAGGGTGAACAAACGCTCCAGGATCTGAAAATGCCAGGGGTCTCAGACAGATAATTACCTGTTGAGTTCATAGAGATGCCTTCCTGAGATGAAGTAGCGAGTGAGAGGCTGTGTGTTGCTGACACACTGGATGCTGGAGTTCATGAAACACGTGTTCCCCAGATTGCTCAGTCCTGTAGCACCCTTTTCAGTAGGAACTGAGGAAAAAAAAAAAAACCATCATTAGATCAACTGTGCAGATGTGAAAATTCAGAATGCTGGATCAGTAAAGATGTGACCTTTTCACGGCAGCCAATTTAATGTAACCTGCCCCCAATTACAGCAGCACAGATGCAAGAGGTGTTCAAAATATCTGCTCTCTGCTCTGCTTAACAGAAATGGAGGAGTTTTGCTGGGCCTGACCCACCACAGACATCAGCACAACCCAGACAAACTACTTTCAGGTGAGTAATTACGGTACTGAAAATTCTGGATTTGCTCATTAAAATTAATTCCTCACCTTAAAAAGATCCAAGATGATAAACACACCATGGAAAATTTGCCAGGTATCATTGGCTGCTTCTGTACCTGAACATCTACGAATCTATCTGTCTTCACCCTCAACCCACTCACATTTCCAGCATTTCAGTTAATAAAGACCAAGCAGAGCAGCACAAGCATTGAAGACCTGACCCACTGTTAAGAGCACTTGGATTAAACACAATTGTTTCAACATGAAACATTCTTGGACTTCTCTTCCCATCCTGATGGAGTTCCTCTGCTGAAACACTCACCTTTGTGTCTGTCTATTTTACTGCTGTTTGCTATAAAAGACATCTCCTCTGGCCAGCTCATGTCCTTGTTCCGAACTGGAAAGAGATATAAAGAGGGGTTTTTAAAAAAATTTCACTTCTTCCTCAGAGCTTACACAGCTGAAGAGCTTTAATTAAAATTCTCTAAATTTTGAGACTGGAAATCGGTGTACTTTTAGTTATTATTTTTGCTAGTTTTCATCTCCATGTTTCCAATCCTTACTGGAACGCATTCTAGCACTGGCATCACTCCAGCCACGCCAGAACATCTTTAGAAAGCAGCCCTGGGATTGCTTTCCTGCTGGATAGCGAATTTTTTAGTGCTTATTCTAATAATTACAAGGATCCCCCCAGATCTGAACAAATCTGTTCACTCCAGGAGTGATCACCAATATTTTCTGTTGTTGTGAACCAACAACAGATTCGAGTGCATTTCAAAACAAGGAAAAATGACATCTGTGTCAGGATAAAGTGTGAGAAAACAATGTCAACTGTACCACCACCTCCCTCTGTAAACCTCTATTTTCAGTGCATAAACCAAATGGAGGCCCTTTTTATACCTTCTATTACCAAATGCTGCTCATCCTGGATTTTGAGATATTCCAGCCTGTGATCTTCATCATCCAGCAAGGTGAGATAGTTCTGCAGGAGGAAAAAAAAAAAAAGTCCTTCATGTAGTTCTTACTTGTAGCTGGAAAATCCCCTCCAAGCAATGAAATCAGAACAGTGGAGTGCACAAAACCCTCTGGAAAATGAGGAGCGAGAGTCTTCCGACCCGAGCAAGTTAAACTCACTATAATTTTTCTGGGCAGGGGTAGTGAATGGTTTCTAGCAAGGAATAAGATATTTAACAGCTGGAGGGAAGGAGAAGGGCCCCCATTACCTCACTGTTGTAGAGCCAGAGCCTCATGTCCTCCTCCTTGATGCGCAGCCGCTGGGACAGGTACTCGTGGATCTCTTTGATGGTTTGCATGCGGCTGAAGCAGCCAGTGTAAGCCAAGACCCTCTTGAGAGGAGCATTGGGAGAAGGGACATTCCCTGGATTCACAATCAGGAGAGAAAGGGGAGAAGATGATCCATCCCACTGCCGTGGCCCACAGGCCAAGTGCGATGAGAGCGCTAACAACTCACACGCTGCATTTACCATCAGTGCCAAAAACACCAGACAGTTCTACTGCTTGTATTTATGGATAAAATAAACTGCAAAACCAGTTGTTCCTGACCCTTTGGGGACAGAAAACTCGCTATCAACAAAGCAGATAAATTATCTGCCTTCGTATCAAACCCCATTAGAAAATGGCTCCCCTGAGAGTCTCACAGGAAACAAATCATTTCAGGGGAGTTTTACTGTTCCTTTTGTCTCTTAAAGACACAGAATCAGAGGAAAAGGTAAAAATCAAAATAAAGGACTTCAAATTTTCCTGAGGATTTTGTTTCAGAGAGAACACTGTAAATAAAAAAGATAAGGTCAAAAAAAGTCAGTCTGAGTATTCTGGGGAGCAGCAAGACTTTGCTGCAGCTCTTCTGTGGAGATAAAGGCTGCTCTGTGCAGATGGAATCAGCCTGCAATTCACAACAAAAATATTCCTAATGGCTAAATTCCTCAAAACACATTCTGTGGTGGCACCCAGGGTTTTCACCCAAATCTCTCGACAAGCTCATGTTTGCAACACAAATTAATTCCATCACCAGCCAAGATCGTTGCTCTTTACAATGTGAGCTCATCTTTAAATAAAACATTTGCACAAGAGATGAGACCGACTTGAGATTCAATTTTTTGGAGCTGTTTTAGTTCAAACTTTGGAGGTTCCCCACAGAGACAGCCCTGTAACAAAGTCATGAAAAGCTTTTATTGTCCAGCCAAACCCAAACTGGGCAACTGCAGTGCTTAAGTGACCTGAGGAGTGACATCATTCTACTTTCACTGTAAGAAGATGAAAATAAAAGGAACAGCACCACGTGAAAAGATGCAACATTATATTATTCCATGCAATTGGACAAGAGAGGAAACTCTACTGTAATCATAAGTCAGCAAAGCACCAGTCTTGCTTCAGTATACCAAGCAGAGTACTCATTTTGTCCAAAGAAAACAAACCAGCATTTTCTGAGATTTAGGGATCAGAGGATTAGTTGTAAGATTACAGCAAGAAAGCATATTTGAGAACTCAACAAGATTAATAACTGATTGGATGATTGAATTAGTGCAGTGCAAAATAATTCCAAATCATGATGAAATTTGGCAGAAATCTCTTTATTTGAATTTGGGCGTTTGAGGAGGTCCAAAGGCAGCGGATTCCATCGGATTAGGTCAGGTGGGAAAGGTGAATTTGGGAGCAGGCAGTTTCTGGGGTGGAACTCCATCACACAGGCAGCTGCTGGGCTACACCTGAGGTTTAGATTCCATCAGAGCAGGGAGAAATGGAGCACCTGCAGGAGGGTTTTCAACACCAGCAAGGCTAAAGGACTGATTTTTCAGTAGCCAGGTGAGCCCATTCCTGGACAGCTGGCACTGGGGATGCCAATGTGTGTCTGGGAATGTGAACACCAGGGATTCCTTCAAACCTCCCGTGCCAGGCGGGAAAACTGGGAACTGGGGACAAACCCTGCGGCACCTCCCAGCTGAAACCTAAATCACAATCTAAACATGATTCTTGCACAGTTTTCTGGTGAGCACTGCCACCACAATCATGGCAAACACATTTTAGCTGGATGTTTACACTTTCTATTGAATTGCCTTTCTGAACCACGACAAATAATAACCTTCATATTCCATTAATGCAACTGCTTTCTAAAGAGCATTAAATAATTTGGGGCATCGAAGCCCAGCTGCCCAAGCAGCTCAGAAGCAGCTGAGTGAACATCAGTTTAATTCACTGTACTCTGACACACACACACACACACCCCCAGCCCGGGGCAGAGGCACCTGTTCCACGGCTACAAAAACCCAAACAGGACTGGCCAGCTCTGCCCTTCCATCAGCTCAGTTCCTGCAGTGCTCATTTCTCCCTCTCAGCTTACAGTAAACCATGCAAATCATCCTCCCTGCCACGGCTCCCTGTGCCTGTTCCTGCAGGAGAGGGCAGGGGACGCCTCCGGATGGTCACTGTGATCAGCTGGAGCACAAGCACAGTGCCAGGAAGCTCCTGCAGCTCAGAAACTGCACATTCTTGCTGCATTCTTAAGTTACCTCTGGGTAAGTGCTGAGGGAACATTCTGAGGCTCATCATACCCATATTGACCCAGATGTTGGACTGCTGGGTGCGGGTGGCCGGCTGCTGCCGCAGGAACAGCAGGTACCGCGGGAACAGCTCCAGCTCCGCCACGTTGGTCTTGCTGTTCTTGATCACCTGGACAGGGGAGAACACAGAGACACCCGGGTTGGGAAGCCCAAGCAGGGATTAGGGAAAACAAACTGGTTTAGTGGCAGGTGGGAAATCTTCTGAACTTCTCACGTGGGCGAATATCCCCGGGAGTGACAGTTTGCTGATTGCTAAGCACTTTTTGGGGCTTATTAAGCTGCAGGTTGTCAGGAGCAAACTCCTTAGTTAGTGGAGCATGGCTGTCTGCACCACACCACGGAAAGAACATTTTTATAATTCCTGAAATATCTGTGAATCTACAACGAAGCTCATTAATTCCACTTCCATCTGAAAGTCTCACAGCTGTTGAAAAAGCTGACATGTGCTGCACAAGACATTTGTTTTCGCACTTTTTGAACTACAGGATTGAATTAAAACCTTCATGTTGTAAGACCAGACTAAAACTTGCTTTTGTTACATTCTGGTATGTCGACAGAAAAGGCTGAAATTGCCCCAAGACAAGTTTTGAAGCTTTTCACTCACCATTTCTACCGGGGTTTTGCTACCTAGATGTGCCCAAACACAGACACCCGTAAATAGGAGGAACGTTCACTGCTTTTGTGACCACGTGAAGCAGAAAACACCCACTTCATTTGTGAGAAGCGATGTAACCCACTGAAGTGCCACAGCACTAAACTTCAGCTACAACAGGAACGACAGTGATGACATTTTCTGAGCAGAAAGCACATTAGTTTGTGTATAAAGTGATGTGGCCTTTTCTGGATCATGAAAGGTGTTTGTTTCCATGGAGAACGTGTGGGAGGAGGTAACACAAGCCAGTGATTTTTCACTGTAAAATAATTGCCAGTACTGGAGCCAAGAGAGAGAATCGTCAACAATCACACAGCTGATTCTCTCCCGTCTGTGACACTGGATGTTTGTGACACCAACCACCTCATCTCTGCTGCCACCACCAAGAAAAGCCCTTCACTGGCTTTTTGAAGTGCAGCTGCTACAAGAGACTGCCTGACAGAGAACAAAACCAGCCAGCCTCTGGAACGAAGGTATCCACAGAAATCCAAGTTTCTCCTCTTTGTAGGAGAACAAACTGCAGCTCTGAAGTGCTGCTGAGCAGCCCCTGTGCCAGAGAACAGGCTCTGCCTGTTCCCTTCCCCAGGCTCACCTCCTGCCATCTGCTCTGGAGCTCCTCACCCAGTTCTGCTCATTGTCTTTCTGTGACAGGCAATCTGAAGGAGCAATTGTTACCTTCCCCCACTTGATGGAATCGTCAGGGAGAAGGGCAGGGGCTTTCAGAGCTGCAGGTGGCCCGGTTTTCATTTCAGAGGGTTTGCAGACCAGCTGAAAATTTATCTGGGCTGCTCAAGATGAGTGTTTTGATGCCAAGCCTTTTAAACCTGATCTCAGGTTCACCTCTGTCTGCTTTAGCCATCACCACCAGTTGAGCAGCACCCCTGTCCTGCTGCAGCACCTCCTGGGGGTTGTGCTGCATCATCATCAAACCTCCTGCTGAACATCCACAATTTCCTATCCACGTCCATTTTAGAGATTGGTTTTTCCCAGCTCGCTCTTCCAGACTCTCCATTTAGGATGGGTGGGAGGTGACTGGGACAGGTTACCTTGAGCCCCTGGCAGGGGTTTGGGTAAATGAGGTGGTTGGTGTTATCTCAGTGGTTGTGGCAATTCAAGTGTGTAAAACCCCCACTTACCGGCCTGGGCAGGGACAGATTTGCTCCATACCAGTGGTAAAGTGCTCTCCAAACTGGCTCTGGTACCATCACATAGTCCTTGCCTTCAACCAGCTGTGGAGATCTCTTTAATCTCCCACCCTCCATTGTTAGTGATGCAGCCTTGCAAAAAGAAAAAAAAAAAAAAAAAGGGGGGGCTTTATCACATCTCAAATGGAAAAATCAGTTTACAGCCACAATGATTTTAGTTCATGAACACAGAACGCTCTTTAATTATTAAAAAACCTTCTAAGTAGCAATTAGCAACTGCTTTTCACGCTGAAAGATGGTATTTAAATGTAACTATTAACACGCAAGTTTCATTATTTACTATTTCTCTAAAAGCCTGTCCGGTATAAAATGCACGATGTGTTTGTCTCTCGTGTCCCCTGCTCTGACAATTTTGGACAGAGAAATCCAATCCCTGCTCATCACTGATGGTGCAGGTCTGTGTTTCACCTTTAATTTACACTGCAAAACCTGTCAGTTTTACTATTTAGTTAACTACTTCCTGTTGTTACGAACAGCAATAAACTCATATTCAGATGGAAAATACCAAAGTGCTTCATTATCAGAATATTTGACATTGAATGCTGCAAGCTTTGTTTCCATAAACACCTTACCCTCTGTAAGAACATTTCGAATGTTTCTTCCCTCACAACACACAAAATTAGCCTTAGGAGTAGAACACAACTTTCCCCCCCTCTTAAAATAAAGAGTAAAAAAGCCAAATTTTGTTGTGTAATTCGGAATTAAGACACGAGCTGACAAAACAAGCAGAAAGCTGTGATGTCAGCGAGGTAAAACCACGCTGTTCCCCCACTGCCATTTACCTTCACTGGCTCCTGCGTCACCAGGGGCTGGTTGTCGATGGCTCCAGGTTTCTGAGGGTTGAGCTGCAGCAGAGCACTCCCGCTGGGGCCCAGCACACACTGGTTGTTGTTGTCTGAAGTGTTGTGCTGCCTGGCAAAGCCCTCCGAGCTGGGGTAGAGGGAGTCTGGGACAAGGAAAATGGCATTGGTGACTCCAGAGCACAGAAAGCAACGAGTTACACTCGTTTTTTTCAGTTGTTATAAAAAAACAAAAAGGTTGTTCAAGTTGGCTGCCCTTTCACTCTGCAGTTAAACATGCAACTCCTCCCAGCCACACAGGCGTAAATGGATTATCTCTCACAAGAGGTGAAGAAGTGGAGAGATGAGCTCCAAATATCACAGCTTTCAAACTAAGGAGGTTTTTGTGTGAGCATTTGCTCATTGTCTGGGTGTTTGAGTATCTAACTCCAGGACATCTTACATATAAAACTGAATATACATGCAATAATGCCTTATTCACTTTTCCTTGAAAAGGCAAACGTTTTTATCCTGATAGAACCTGCTCTGGTCATGCAGAACACTAAAACTAAATTTTAATTAAAAAAAAAAAAGAGATCCTTTAAGCTAAAACTTGTCTCTCTTCTTGCCCTTTCCTTTATTTTCCCCCAAACCCCATCCCCAAAATTATCAGAGTAACTGATCTGACTTAAATTGAATTTATGACTTTCAAATACCAGATGCAACATCCAGCTTGTCTTACAAGAAGACAAAAAATAAATCTCCAGTTCCCACAAGACCTCATCGAAACCCATCACTAAAATCTCCTCTTTCACAGAGATGGCTTTAGGATCTGCACAAACTCATTCCAATTGAAATCCCATGCCCTGTAGAACTATAACTAATGGTGGGGTTTTTTGCTGCTTTTTTTTTCCTCTTTTGGGCGTGTGAGATCATCTCATCGCACGGCAGAGGATAAACCAGCCAGGCACTTAAAGTGAGGAAAATCCACTCAGAAAACAAACGGTAAGACAAAAAAAAAAAAACCTTAAAAATAATTCTGGACACTAATTATAACAGATGAACTGCTGTTCAAACAGGACTAACCCATCCTAATGATCCTACAAGTGCTGCAAAATCCAAACTGTGTTATGGTTTTGGTCGGAGGGGTCCATGCAGGGTGGAGTTGTTTTTTTTTTCAAGAGCTGCTGTAAATTAAAGCTCCAAGGAAATAAGGTGCTTACTGCTGCTGGTGGACTCTGAGGCTTCTGAGGCAGTAGAAATATTATCTGAAAACTTTTCTTCTGTTGCACTGCAGTAATTAAGACCTCCCACTTTGTCTTCTCCCTGTTCTGAGGGATTGGCTGGAGCAGCTAGGAGGGAATTCTTACCTCCACTCAGGACAGATGAAGGTTCTATCACAACAGGGTTTGCATCCTGAAATGGGGAGAAAAGTGAATTATCAGCCATTAGCAAAGACACATCAGCGAGACCAAGCACCAAAATTCACTTGGCACGTCACAAGCTTTACTCCAAATATTTTCCCCACCTACCAATGAAAGCTCTGCAGAAATAACCAGCCAGGATTGTCAAATGAATGGAATAAACCCTTCTGCCCAACGTAAAAATTGGGAAATGCCAGAATTTTCTCTGTCTCCATACACAAAAATCCGACCATTTTAGGCAGCTCTAATTACGGACTATAAATATTTGAAGATCTGTCCCTGCTGAATTTCATAGGGTTAAAGGAGAACAGCAAGCACAAGAACAAAAAAAAACCCCACATTCTTTCCCCAAACCTGCAGCATTTTCACAGCAATTGTGAGTTAAAATGGCCTTGTGCCACCAGGCAAGGGATTAGGGGTGAAATCCTTGGCACATCTGAGCACTTGCACCAGGACAAGGATCAAATTACCTGCTATTTCTGGCATTTAAGGCATCATTTGTCCAATTCATTGTGCCCAAAGAATAACTGTCCTTCCATGGTTAGTTAACACACACACACTGCAGCTTTCTGGGTCCTTTCACTTATTTGTTTTTATGAAACTAATCAAATACTCATAGGATTACTTGTGACGACATAAAACTCTTTTGAGAAGTTTACTTCCCTTGTTTAGGGACATTTATCTCCACCTCAGTTAAATTTTCTTAAATTTAATTCCAGTAAATACTCTTTCTTTCATAAAATTCACAGTGATGCTTTAACTTGAACATTCTGGAGGGTATTAAAGAGCACCTTTAGGTAGGATTCCTTTGATCACTGGGCTACTTTTCACGTTCCCTCCAAACCAAATTACAGCAATTCCCTCCTGATTTTGCCCAGAAGATGCCCAGTGTGTATTTGTCCCAACCAAAGCAAATTTTTATCAAATCCAAATCATCAGCAAATGGATCAGAAGGCTTGAGGGAAGTTCTGAGATGCAGGAATGAGGGAAGCTTAATGAGATGCCAGTGCAGGTACCAATGATTCAGCAGCACAATTATCTGCCCCCCAGAGGCAGGAGATGCTGAATTCCAGGAGTTGTTGGTTAAGCAGTTCTTTGCTCCGCAGTCTATTTTCCATCAACACATTCCCCAACGCTAAGATATCGCTTATTCAGTGTAGATTATTAGAATTATACTTACATATTTGACATATTCTTTCCACTGGTGCCACCAGGGCATAGCAATGAGAAACCAGTTGTGCCCTGGCTGGAGGCCGTACCTGCTCTCTCTTTCCAACCAGCCCCTGCACACAGAGAACAGGAATTGTCAGCTGACACAGGGCGCTTACAGTGCTTTTGGAAACAGTAAAAGCTGATTGTTGAAACGCTGGAGACAGTGAGCAAACACACACCTGATGATCTGTCCCTCCTCCTCGGGGGTGGCAGGTCGCAGCCCCAGCACGATGTGACACACCTGCAAAAAGGGAAAGCCACTCCTGCTAAGAACCACACAGGAGACAAAAGCAAAGACCAACTCCAGGGGGATTCACAGCATTTGTTAAAATTATGCAGCAAAATGAGCACTGAAATAAATCAAGAAGTGTTTTGAGCTATGAGGTTCACAACCTGTTGCTACTGCGAACACGAAGATGCCAAAAATGTCAAATGCCCCAAGAGGTGAAATTGTCATTATTTAGTTTATTTATAAATTCTATTGTTATTATATCTATCATTGCTTGTACAGTTTATTCTATATTGTAGTATTTAGTTTATTTATATAATTTTCATTGTTTCCAGGTCTGAAAGATCCCAGGACTGACAGGATCAGACACACAAGTGAAGGTGTCTGTATGTTCTGGAGAGGGGGAATGAGGAATTGGGAGAACAGAAGCTGTTGGAAGAGGACAAACTAAAGGTTAAAACAAAATGGAAAGGGGGAAAATGGGGAGCAGTGGTTATATCTAGGACTTTTTAGTTTTGAACCAAACACAGGAGCAAAAGCACCATCTCCTGGGTGGGGTTTTATTCCCAGGACAAGGCAGTGCCAGTTTTGCTCCTCATACCATGATTTACAGCCTGATGTCTCTCCTGAGGCCATCAATTTGCATCTGATCTAGAGATTTCTCCATGAAATCCCTAATTTCAATTCCTAGTGCAGTGAGAGAGACCATTTCAGGTTCTGAGTGAAGCAAAGGTCGGGAGCTGGGGGGAAGCAACAGCTTTTCCAGGCCCCCCAACACAGCTGGTTCTGCTGTTTGCTTCCAAATTCATCCAACCCTGAGCTCATAGGAGATTCTCCACACAAACCAACCCCTCTGCAAACAAAGCAATTTGTTGACAAGCTTTCCAAGATGCTGCACTCAGAATATTTGGCTTTTGTCTGCAGCTCAAACTCCCAGACCGATCAATGGCAGGCTCTGCCCTGCGCCCCACGTGATACAGCTGTCAAAAATTAAAAATTAACATTCAAATCTGAAATCAAAATACAGCAACCGTGCCAGGAACAAAAGGAAATATTGTAAATGAGGCTCCCACCGAGCAGTGGGTAACGCTGGGGATGGGTAATCAGCACCAGGACAGATTTATTACAGGCTCCTTCATTCTCTGTCAATAAGGCAGAGATATTTGTTAGTTCATCAATAGTAAGTTATGATGGGATATTTCAGGCTAGACAGGTCAAAAATGAAGGCAGCCCTTCTTGAGGAGGTTGCAATGTAAGCAAAACCTGATGCAATCAGAGAGAAAAAGAACCTGAAGAACTTTCTGGTGTTATTTTTTCCATCTGTGGCCTCAGAATACTCTCCCTCTGTTCAACAGCCCTGAAGTTCTTGGCAAAATGTCATTCAAAATGCAATTTATAAAGCAGTCCTGGGTCACAAGCAGGAGAATCACCATGTGCTAATCAGGTAGCTTTTCATCATTACTTTAAAAAAAAACCAAACCAAACCAAACCACACAGTTTCTCTCTGATTAAGTATTTTTCTGCTATCATCTGACCCTGTTACTGCTTAAGATCCACTGGGAAGATGGGAATGAAGCCCACTGGTTCTCCTTGGCCTTCCCTGGAAGAACCAAGACTGTCAAACGGGGCTGGAGGTGACCACTAAATTAGGATTATTATTATTTAAACTCCCAAGTATCAACCTCTACAGACAACAGGCAAGGAGCAAACCGCAGTGCATGAAAATACTCTTTGGGTTTGTTTTTTTTTTTTTTTTCCCTGCACAAAGTGAGCCAGAGCTAAAATATGGCTGTTAAGGATTTAGAGAAATCCAATTCAAGCTCAATTAAAACCAAATTCAGCACATACTTAATCCTCAGCTGCTGCAACGGAGCAGTGATATGATATCACAGCTTTCAAGGGCTGCTTCATTAAGGAAGCAGCGAGAGGCACCTCAGAGGGCCTGAACAGAAAATGCAAAGGGAAACTGGTTGCAAAATACAAAGGGAAGGAGTGAGAGATTTTTCTCCTTCCCTGTGTGGCTTTCTTGGCAAAAGATTTGCCTCAAAACCCCTCTGAAAAGCCAGCCCTGGTCTGACGGAAAATCCACCTGCTGATGCACTTGGAATTTGGGTGTCTGAACAGTACCCCAGGTTCACTCTAACAATCTCCATCCCCTGAAAGGAACAACAATCAAGCAGAGAATCATCTGTCAGGGCAACTCAACTGCAAACCAACCCACATCCCCTCCTGCCCGAGCTCTGAGTGCTGACACAAGAGCTGAGGCTGCACCTTGTGGCCGTGCACAGAGCTCAGGACTTCATCACCACGGGTTCCAGGCTGAAATTTCCTGTAAACATACCTGAAAGAGCAGATTTAAAAACTCATTGGCAAGCGCACTCTTCACACTCCAGATCTGGTAGTCCTCCAGGGTGAGGTGTCCGAGCTGGAGGGAAGGGGAAGGAAAAACCATCAAAACATTAAGTTCTAGTAAAGTGCTCGTTAAACAAGACTTTCATCACGCAAGTTTGATAAAAACCAGCATCTACCACACTTTGACAGTAAAATCTGATCCAATGGAAGAAGAAAAATCCAGTTTTAGCATAAGAAACACAACCCAGAGAACCCAAAAGCTTGGAGAGGAGAGGATGAGCTGTGCTCAGTGTGCAACCTCTGCTCCATCCCTCAGATTTCACATTCACCCCCTGCCTCCATTCAGACCCCACCATCTTCCTCTGTGGGTTGGGAAAAACCAGCTTGGATCGTCCAGTCCTTATGATCTCACCCAGGAACACAAGGCCCATTAATTGATCTGTTAATCACCTGCCCAGTCAGAGCAGTGAAACACTGAGCGGTGTCACTCCCGATTTCCGACCGTTCAGGGCTGGGATCCATCTGATTTTTTAGATGGCAATATAATCCATAGCCAATTTTCCAGCAGTGGCAGTTCCTCTGCCTCCTCTTACAGCCCATTCTCCCCACAGTTCACCCAGGTCAGAGCTAACACACGAAGAGAGGTTAAATAATTGATGTAATCACTGCACCATCAGCTCTTTCCAGCACTACATTGATGATGCAACTACGAAAGATATTCTGAAGACTTAAGTCATTTTTTTTTAACTCTTTGTGGAATCAAGACTGCTGGGCACTTGCTTATGAAGCACCTTTTGAAAAAAAAGTAAATAATAAAAACCTCAAAGGCTGAGAGAGAGAGAAGCCACATATTCCACTGCTTTGGCAATTAAAGAATTGCAACAAAATATCTGTCCGCCCCTTTGTTGGAGCCCAAGCAAGCAAAACAACCATTCAAACAAGTAATTAAGCATTTCTAGGCATTCTTTATAGTTTTTCATAAATTATTTATAGTTTCCAGACACTTTTCCCAATTAGTGGAGCAAAGGATGAAATAATGGAAGCAACTTTCCCTCTGTTGTTCAAGGGTGATAACTCCAAATCTCCTCTCTCCCGAAAAGCAAGGACATAATTACAGATTTCCACCCAGCTCACTATAAAGCACAACCTAAACTAAACCCACTTTTTGTTGTGTGTCATGACAGATCCCCCCATAGTTTCACAGAGGCACAGGAGGATAATGTGCCTTTACACAGCATAAAATAAGAAATTAAACTTCTGCTCTCTTTTTCGCATGATCATTTTTAACGTGAACCAAAAGAGCAGTTTCTCCAGAACTAAAGCCAAGCAGCAGATTTAAAGCTGGTGTTAGTGATGCACAGCAAAGCCCTGCAAACAGTGCAGGCCTCAAAGTAATTTGATCTGGGTATGTATTTTTGGGTGAGTTTCATATATATAAAAGTGGCTTCTGAAATTCAAACCTTTCACTGAACATCAGGGTAAATTTGAATGGAAAAGTGACATTTCTTGAAAGAGAATCTTTTATTGACCCATCTCTGCTCTGAAGGAAGGTTTTCCTTCCTTGTAAGTAAACTGAAGGTAGAGGGGTGTAAAAGTGACAAGGAAAGAACAGCAAATTCCTACCTTTGTGTTGTCGTGGGTGTGCAAAATATCTTCCACGATTTCAGACAAACTCATGTCCAGCTCCTTAAACACAAGGATCAGAAAACAGAGTTAAAAGTCTCCCAGCACTCCCTGGAGCTGAACTCACAATAAGAATGTCACTGGAAGGGTTGTTGGTGATTCAGAAGCGAGTGTTTCCCTGGCTGAGGTTTCTTTACAGGAGGGAACAGGTATATTTATTTACAGGTAAATAATGACCCTGTGCTGCTCTGGGCAGGGCAAAGCTGGGGCACCCCCAGCTGCCTACGTTGCTCCCAGCAGCTGGCAGGGCAGCCTGTGTTCCACTGAGCCCTGTCCAGTGCTCACAGCCCAGCTGTGGAAGGGTGGCTTTAAGGAGCAGCAGGAACAAGAGCCCCAAACACAACTCACGGGTATTTTATCCGTCCGATTGTCCTTCCACACCTCCAGCAGCGCCACCACCATGTCCCTCAGCTCCGTGCGAGACAACACCCCGTCCCTGTCCACGTCAAACACCTTGAAGCAAACTGAGAGAGGGGGAAATGACTTTTCTGGGGGGAGCCACTCCACAACTCCCTTCTCCTGCCTCTCGCAGAGCCCCGAGCAGCTGGTTCGGCGCCGGCAGCTGTGACGAGGCAGGACCCGCGTGTGTGGTGGGGAGGAAACGGAGCAGCTGTGTTTAATAAACTGCAATCCACATTCCTGCCATCCTCTGCTGTGCTCTCCGAGGTGACAGAGCAGGGAACACATGTGCGGCCAGAAATTTCCAGGGAAGCGGTGGCTTTTAAGTTGCAGCAAAACGGCTTTGGGAAAGGAGGGGAAGAAAAGTGTCTCGAAACACAAGGAGCTTGCAGGGAGCCAGCTGAGGACCGGGCAGGGAGAAGCCACAACGTGCTATTTAGCACAAGACAATCAAATAGGACATCTGGTTTATATTGTATTTAATGAGCAGGTAAGTGTTTTGCACTTTCTGTACTGAGATACCCACTCAATGCAGAACACTGCAAAAGGACTTCTGAAATATGGGTTTTTTTCCCAGTTTGGTAATTTATAGGAAACTACTGGTAAGTTATAAAATACACAAAATCAGGTTTAATCATCCTTTATAAAAAGAGAACTAGATCTTTAAAATTCCTGCAATTTTTTAACTGCCAGAGTCTGTCACCTTTCCCAGACACTCATTTGTCCGGTGGGGGGAAAAAAAAAACCCTCTCAAAATGCGAAAACAACTAAACCTCAAACTGAAAAACTCCTCTGAAAATGAACAGTTAAACGTTTTGCATACTTACACTTCTGTCTTTCTGCCAAGGGTCCCCTGCAACATGCTGAGAGCCCACAGGAAATTTCTTTAAAATCTATGTGATTGTCTCGGTTTTCATCAAAAGCATTAAACAAACCTGCAAACCACAAAAGCATCTCCTGTTACAGCACCTGACAGTCCCATCAGCACCTCCAGGAGGGGTTAGTGGGTAACATGGGCAAGGAGAGGTACAAACACTCCTCATTTATTCTTATTAAGTGCAATAAAGACAATTAAGCAGCACCAAGACCGTTCCAAGGTGAACTGGATCGCTCGTGGCCGCGTGGTCAAGCCAGGGGTGGGGAGGGAATCAGGAATTCTGATTTACAGGGAACATCTGAACCAGGATGGTCAGGACAGGCCTTTCCCCAGAAGCTAAGGGACAAAACAGCCTCAGATGCCAATGCCTTCACTTTTCCCATGTGCCCGACAGAAATTCTGATGGAAATCACGGAACTTCACTGCAAATTTGGTCCTCGGGAGTTTTAGTTACCAGACTTCAAAGGATTTATCAGTTCCATTCGTTCAGCACTTACAACCTTTTTTATCCCATATTTTTTATAAGCAACAGTAACTCCACAGAAGCCCTAGAATGACCAGAAACCATTCAAGCTTCCCCACAGCAGCTGTGTAAATTTACATCACTGGGTAGATAAAACACACTTAGGAACAAAAGGATACGGGGATAAATCCCTGTGGAACTGGACATAAGTTCTGATTTTTTAACAGTTTGCATCCACTGCAGATGAATTTCCCGTTTTCTGCTTACTTGTCAGTAAAGCCAAGCATTTGGTGACAAAAAAATTGCCCCTCCCGGCCTGCAGATAAAAACCTGGGGGCAAGGGGAACGTTCCTGAACGTCCTGGTGTGGTGCAGCAAACGGCAATTGCACAACTGCAACCTCCAGCTCTTCCCAGAGTGGCTTCAACTGGACAGACCAGTTTGGTTATTAATATAAATAACAGCAGACAAACCTCCTGACTGAGTGTCCTGAATTAAATCTTCCCCAAGTTACCCTGTTGGGGAAGGGACTCTTGTTCAGGGGCAGCGGTTCCAGAATCTTAAGGAACCCGATGAAAAATTTTAAGCAGCTAAAGGGGCAACTTACACATCAATTTTGACACCTAAAATCCTGACAGCTCCTAAGAATGGAACACACAGAAGCATCACCTCCCTTATCATTCCAGATTCCCCAACAAATCGTTTCTCAGGCCTCGTTTCCCACTTCCAAACACTCAGAGCCCAATGGAATGACGGTGTCACTGGAGCCTGAAAGCCATTCCAGAACAGGCCTGGGGTGACATCTGTCAGTGTTTGTGTCCCCTCAGCAGCTGCCCCTCCTCCCTCTCCTGATCCCATCCATACCTTCACTCAGAGAGGGGTGAATCGGAGGGGAAACCAAGGGGGCAAACGTTTCCAGGTCAAAGCGTCCCGTCCTGGACTGAGCCTTGAGCAGCCAGTAGCGCTTCTCCAGGTCGATGATGTCGGACTCTTCCACTGCCCAACCAACAGAAAGAAATCAGATTTTAACTTCTTCATCTACAGAACTTTCTTACCAGCAACAAGCTCAGCATCAGTAACACCACCACAAGTGTTTAGAGGTACAGAAATGAGCTTTTTCCCACTGCTAAAGGTTCCTGCAGCCTCTTTGTTTTCACCTGTTTCTCCTTGGTGAATTGGACAGGCAGTTTAGAAGTGCAATATCTGATTTTCCCAAAGTATCCAGTATTTAAACCCTTGAAAAACAAGAGTAAAGTAGCACTTTTAAAAAAAATCTCAGACCTTTAATCGAAAAAATAACGTAGTACTTGGCTCAACTCCTACTGAAATTTTTAGCCCTCCGATCCAGTAACAAGGCTAAATTTCAATGGGACATTTTAACACTATTCAGCATTTTTCCCCCAAATAGAAAAGAGTTTATTTCACATTATTATTTCTACTACAGAAGCATTTAGAATCCCACTCAACATTAGGGAGTGATTACACAAACCTACAAGACACTTTATGCAGAGGAACTTATAAAGTAATTTAGAAAGGAACCAAACCCCCAAACCAATGACCAAAACAAGGTGCTAAACGAGGGTAAATAAAAACAGCCAGAGGAAGGACTTGTGCTTTCTTTACAAACATCACACACAAATGCTGGTCTTATGCTTGATCCTTGAAATTAAATACACATATATATAAAACAAGATTAAGTTTCTGCTCAACAATACTTTTAACCTTTTTACATATGCAAGTGTGTCACAACACTGCTTTAGGTCAGTGCAAATTAATTGGTGCTCCAATAGATATGTAATGACAAAGCTGTCTATATTAAGCACCACTACGTGTGATCTCATTCCCAGATGGTTCTGAGCCCTTAAATCCACGCCAGCTTTCTAATAGGTTTAACTTGAGCTATTTGGCCTGGTTTAGTCTAGAGAAACAATAATAATCCTGTAAGGCTTAAGAACAGAAGAGCTTCCCCCCCCCCAAAAAAAAAAAAAAAAAAAAGTTATGAGTCAAATTGAAATGTTATTGATTTCTTATCCCGTTTCTGTCACTGGGAGGAGGGGTTTACTCAGAGGAGTAACTGAGATAATTCACAATAAGTAGTTGTAATACCCAGAGCAGCACATGATGCATCAAAGCCTACACAACAGCTCACCCTCAGCAGCAGGAAGCTTGGGGAAATCTGAGTAAAATGTAAGTTGAGTTGCAGTGGAAGGGGTTTGCATCCTCCTGCAATGTCCTTTCAGCAGGAAAAGTGACATCAGTGAAAACACGTCCCTTGTCCTCTGTGCAGCCACAGCAGAGCCTGGGGTGCAGGTCAGGGTAACCCACCCTGAGCCCACCTCCCACCCCCAGGGCCTCATTTCCACCTGCTGTATTTACACAGTGACTTAAGAGCTGATTCAGGAGGAAAAACTGATTTCCTTTCTCCTCTCCCCCTCCTTCCCACACGGATCAATTCCCTGCTCCACCAGCTCCTGGTTGTGTCGTGATCACAAAGCCCTTTGGGTTGGAAGGGACCTGTAAAGGTCACCCTGCAGGGACACCTTGCACTGGGTCAGGTTTCTCAGAGCCCCATTCCAGCTGGTTTGGGATGTTGCCATGGATGAGGCATCATCCACAACCTCTCTGGGCAGCCTCACCACAAAAAAATTCCCCCTCTTGTCTCCCCTCTTAGTTTGGATCCATTACCCTGGATTGGGTATATAAGGAATATTTTACTAGAAATCAAGAAATAGTTATTTCTCTGAAATATCACAGCCCTGATACCTCAGGGCTGCCACAGCTGTGAACAGAACAGTCAAGGGATGGAGAACTGGAACGTTCCAAGAAATACGAGGATTTAAATACAGAAAACCACCCAGGGGACATCTCCTCATCCTGCCTCGGCGATTTCACAACAGTCACTGCATCAACACAGGAGAGAATCTACCAGACAAAACCCCCTCTCCTCAGTTTTGTCACCCCTCCAGCTGTCAGGGGGTTACAGCAGGGACCAGAGAGCTCACAGGAGCTGACATCCCAGTGCTCTGACAGCGCCCAGACAGCTGCAGGGAGGGGGAAGTTTGCACTGCCATTTACAGCCGCTCTCATCAGCAAACACAACAGCATTATCTGTGTGCTCTTGTGCACGAGCATGTAAATCACTTTGCTCCCTTTTCATCCACCTTGCAACGAGGAGGAATAACAAATGTGGGAGTTGCACTTGGTTCCTGAAATGATGTCACGCCCAGAATCTCCCAAACCCTCGAGGAAGCTCATCTGCAGAGACCTGCTTTCCCTGGCAGGGGCAATATTTATCTCTGGTAATTAAGAGCTGAAAGGCTGTTTCATTTTGCCAGAGAACCATTCTCAAATATCTGCAGCAGAGCCCAGTTGCATTCTATTTTTTTTTTTTTTTTTTAATTGCACTTCACAGATGTTTCTCCAGTGGTAACTTGTTTCATTCCTTAATCTCCAGGAGGAAAGGTTATCAGAAAGCATTTCAGTCAAACAGCGGTTGAAACGACATGGACATTTAAAAGGCAAAGGATTTTCAAACAATCACCTTCCAGGGAACAGCTGATAAGTATTAACATAAGTGTTACACTTTTATTACAGCAGCCCCAGTGCGCTGACTTTTGAGGGAAAGACAAACATTTTAGAAAGTAAAACTGGCAGAGCAGTAAATAACATTCTTAGCACTAATCAGCCCTGCACAGATTAGGCTGAGCACAAGTAAAAATGTGACAAAAGGGTAGTTTTCATTCACAGTCCATTGCAATAGTTTCAGGTAACCCAATCCAGAGGATTTGCTGGATTGCAGCCCACGTGAAGTTTAAGGGCAGCTGAGAAAGCAGCTGTTGCATAATTTGATTTCTCCAGAGTGAATTTTTTGCACCTAATCTTGTAAGTCACTCTCAGGACATGCAGTGCACCATCTACTCCTCCACAAATGTGAGCTGAAAGAGATCTCTGGCACTTTGGGGAGCACAAATATAATCATATTTGCTCCTGAACTTCCCTGAAGCACAAGGAAGGCAGACTACACTTAATGCCCAGCCATGTTAATGCGCACGACCAAACTCCACATTCTAAAGAGGTTTTGCATAGATAAAGGATTTTATCTTTTCAAAATATAACCTTTTTTTTTTTTTTTTTTCCCCCCTAATGCCTGTTCAAATCCCATCAAAAAGTATGAACTAGACTTTCATTCAGATTACTCAGAAAATGCCTCGGATGTACAATGGAGTCCAAACCATCAGAACGGACTTTCTAGGCCAAGTGATTATTCCTTTTTGTTAATTAAATACATGGTATGATCGTTTGAGGTCACATGGACATATTACACACCTGTGTGATTTAAACTGTGCTGTTTTGTGTCTCCCCCCTCGTCGCTTGCCTGTTAGAAATAACCAAAACCTTTCAGATCTGTAAAATTATAAACAGTGTTCCTTGGTTCAAAGCTTTCAGAATTAGGCAAATATAATCAGAGTGATGATAATATCAGGTGCCTCTAAAGCACAGCCTTCATATTGTAAAGGAAGAACAAGCAAACGCAGCCAAAATATGCACCTGGAACTGTAAATCCGCTAAAAATTGGTTCATTTAAAACCACCTGATGGAGTCAGGTGGGATGACAGTGATAAACACTAAAAAAAAACACAACCCAGCCTTCATTTTAATGCCATTCCCATGAAACATAAGCCCTTCCTAAACATTCCATAGGTAGCAAGCCATGAATAACTCCCCTGTCTTAGAACAAACATTTCAAAGCCCGTTTTCATTTCAGGCCCCATTTGTTACAATCCTTCCCACGAGCAGAACTCCCCCCCGGTATTTCAGCAGAGTAAATGTTACCCACCTATTGGTACAATCCTCTCTGGTTCACAGCAGCAGAAACATACCATATTCCCAACATTTTAACAGGGGCCTGGCCTGCTTTGCTGGTTACCATGATGTCCAGGCAGAGCCCAGAGCCTGCTGGCAGCTCTTCATGGTGCAGGAGCAGAGCACAGGCACAAAGTGTGGCTGTGACTGAACACCCTCGTTTGTGGCTTTCTGATTAACCCACAGAACACTCTGGGACCTGGGCACCCAGAGCTGCTTTGCAAGACATAAAATAGCCTGGGAACTAAGAGGATAACAAGGGGCAAAATGCAGATTAAGTGATGCTGAGGCTTTTACTTATTGGCCTGGGCTGATGTCACACTTTCATCTTTTTTTGCTTTTCCTAATTGAAAAAAAACAAACACAGAGAGAAGGGAATGGCACAGGATTTGGCCAGGAGAGATCCCTGTGAGTGCCAGACATGGCTATCCAGGGGTCTGTCCAGCAGAACAGGGATTATCAGTGCCTGAGGATGGGAAGAGCAGGGCAGAGGGGTGAACAGCTCCTCTCACAGCACAGGTGTTCACACAAAGCAGCACTGAATCAAACACGCTCTTAAAAGCACCTTGAATGGATCCAAAATCTTCAGAGCTGCCCTGTAGAGATGATCAAGAGATGGTGTTCCAGGAAGCTGAAGTGGAAAAGCTCCAGAACACGTATTTAGCATCCAGACAGGCATTTAAAGGCAGCAAAGTGAAGGGATCACCTCATTTCACTTTCCTTCTACTCTCCCATCTCCAGCTTCCCACAAACCCCACAGGTTGACAAACCCAGCTCTGACAGACGAGGTTAATTCCACAACAACTCAGCTCCAATCTCACTTCAAAAACCGACTCTTCCACTTCCACCACCCTGTCTGGTTACCCAGGGCTGCTCTCCTTCATTGCATGAAATGAGTGATAAATGTATGCTCCAAAATAGAATTATTACCCTGATTAGAGACTGTCCTAACTGCCCCTCAGCAGGCAGGAGCTGGCAGGAAGAGCAGGAGCACTTTGATGAATTTTTCTGACAACAGAGGAGAGTCTCTCCAATTCAAAGGAGAATTGGGATGTTATTTAATCACCACTCAGTGACACAACAACTGGGTAACAAAGAAGTACAAATTAAACATTCTGTCAGTTGGAGACCAGGGACCCCTCTGATAAATGGCAGAACTGTCCCCATGGAAAAGGACTGAAAATCTGAGGATCTGAGCTCATTACCTGACACTGAGACACAGCAAAATGACACAGAAAAAGGGCAACCAGCACCTACATTGCAGCAGGAAAACCACTTCCAGCTAAAAGAAGGAAATCAGTGAGGTCTCACCTGAGTCTGTGTGACAGTAACGTGGGATTTACACCACAGTGCTCTTCAACAGGATGGTTTAAATGCAGATTTATACATGTAAATCTAAATGTACATAATCGTGCTACGAGACTGAGAAAATCCAATCCATTGCTAATTGGTCAGCACTCAAATGTAACACAAATTCTTAACTCTGAAACTGCTTTTTAGGAGCAAAGGTCCAAGACAAGACTTAAGTTGTTTTGTCAGCTTTCAAATGAAATGATTCAAATTTCTGATTTAAGTGAGATGGAACAAAACTCGATTAAAAGCAGCAAGTGTGGGCAGCTTCCTGTAACTTAAAAAAAATTTTCCTTGCCAATTATGTGTTGAGAAATATAATTCAATACATCTGCACAGCAAAATAAGTGTTATTTACAGATGAAAAATTAGTATTCCATTGTTTGCCTGCTCGCTCGGCTCATTAGGCAAATTTAAATGGAGCCACTGATGCTTGGCAATAAAACTGTGCCTGAATCAATGGGAATAACTTTCACTATTTTGATCAGGGCAATTTCTCATGTTATTCCAGGAGCTGGGTAGAAGCACAGCGTGAGGTAAGGCCTGGAAGAGGGTCAGGAAATTCCTAATTGCAACAGCAAGTGTCACAACTCCCTTTTCATCTGCCAGCAGAAGAGATGTTCAAACCCCTCCCTCCTTCCCTGTGCTTTCTAACAGTGTTTGCCTCAGTTTACCAACAATTATTTCACTTCCTGGTTCTTCTCCAACAGGCAATGATTCTCCAAGGAAAAGGCTGAAATCCCAGCCCTCACTCAGAGCAGAGGAGCTGTCACAACAGCTCTCGCTGTTCCACGTGCTCAGCTGGGTTAAAAATATTCCTGTACCCAATTTCTCACTCTTCAGATTGACCTGATTAGACTGAAATTACTCCTAAGTGCTCGAGCACTCATATTTTCCTTACTTCTGCACATCTGTTGGATGAGATTCCTACACTGTCACGAATCCCAAGGGAACTGGGGAAAATCTAATTTGATCTGGAGCTCCAAACACAACTGGCACAGGAGCTTTCCAAACCTGGGGACAACCACCCCACGGGGCTTCTCTGGGATGCTCTGAGCAGCTCGACCCCAGACCTCACCTGCACTCCAAGATTCAACAGTCACTTCAAACACTCTCTCAGGTGTTTTATGGCAGTTTTTTAACCCTACCCACGGAAAACTTGATTTTCCACTCAGTTCTGCCTTCACTCCACTCACGTAGATGAGTTAGCAGTAAAGGAAGGGGGAACACCACCCATTATCAGTGTGGTTTCCCAGCCACCTGCACAGAAAATCATTCATTTTTTAACCCTGAGCTGTGTTGAAATGCCCAAGATTCTGCCAACACCTTTCACAAGGCTCTAAAACCACCCACTGAGGAGATTAAATGCCACACTCAGCCCAACAGAGCCAATCTGGGAGAGCACAGAAAATCCCACCAGCTCAACTCCCTGCCACCTCCACAACAAACCCCCTTCTCCCAGTCCCTCAGATGCTTTACTGGCTGCTTACAGCTGGGCATCAATTATGATTTATCAGCCTTTTGCTTTTAGATTCAATTTACAAACCAGCTGTTCCTCCTTTTACAGTAAGAGAGACACAAGGCAGCACTTGTTCTTTGGAGATTATTCCTAAATGCCAACCCTGAGGAGGCTCCCCTGGAGTTAATTCAGTTCCCTGACTGCATCACATGCCAGGAATGCCACTGGTTTTACTGCACAGGCAAATGAGGAGGGAACAACTATTTCTGAAACGAGCATTATTTCCTCAACTGCCTCAACAGTTTAATGATCCACCACAAAGACCAAATATAAGACCAGTATTACAGGCAAGCCACTTCAGAAAAAACTGTCAAAGAGATGACACCTTTATTTCAATTTTTTTTTTTTTTCCAACCTCCTCAGTAGCAAACTTCTGGTAGAAGTTCTAACAGCAGCGTTGCAATGGCAGCCTTGATAACTCATTAAACTGAGTTGATAAACCTTGATTAACTCTTAAAAATAAGAGCCACGGAGTCCTTGGGCAGAACAACAAAAAGCAGAGGATCCATCAGAGATTTATCCCCGAGTGGGGAGGTTCAACCAGGGCAGAGCAAGAGCTGAAAGGTTGGTTTACTCACAGTGGGTGACTCCAGCCAGGGTCTGGTAGAAGGTGGGGGTGTCACTGTCATCGGTGAGGGTCACGTAGACGCCCCCCGACAGGAGCCACCGCGAGAACGTGAAGGCGTCTTTGTTGTGCAAGAGCCAAGCCCTGAACTTCTCGTAGTTCACCTTCTCACCCTGCAAGAAACAGCACAGAACGGGGGCTGTTTGTTTTCTCAGGAGCAGCAAACAGGAATCATCCAGCTGTAAAAAGGAAAATTGGGACAATTTCCTGGAAGAATAAGGACTGAAATGCTTGGAGCTGTGCCTGTGTCTCCCCTTCCTCCTGAATGGCAGCACTGGGAGAGAAATGAACTCCTCAGCTCCCTCTGCACTTCAAACACCTGACTCAGTGTGGCCTGTGGAAAGCTGCGTGCTCTGAAACTCAGCTTGAAGGGACTCAAAGAAAAAGGGTTACTTACAACCCAAACAGGTTATTTTTATCAATTTCAGTTTATTATCACAGGTAAAAGCTGTGAAGTGCCACAAATAACAGGTGCTATAAAACCATCAGCGTGCTGCTCTGTGTGTGCAGGAACACCAACACCTAACCCAGAAAGGTGAGATTTGGGAATGATCACTGCAGTAACATGTCCATTTTTTGACCAACACCCACTCTGGAGCACACATGAGACCACGACATTCCCGGGATCTCGCCCCTCAGTGTCTCCTGCTGGGGTGTCCGATGGAGCTCCTGTTCAGGAACACAGAAAAGCTGCACAATGACAGGATTTCAGTGCTGGAGAGGCTGTTTAAACCATTTAGTTGAATCCTTTCCAAGCTGTGCCCATGAAACCATCAGGATCAGCAGACTAATTTCTACAGAACCTACAAAACTAACTCTGATGAAAGCAAACCCATTACCAGTAGACAAACTCATTATATGGAGATTCCAATCTCCAGGGGAAATAAACAGGGGGCTGCAAAGTGGAAGAGGTTTCAAGTCATTGATTATTTAAACTCCCCTCATATCACAGCCCATTAAACTTCCCTGAATTACATCTCTACAGAATCCAACAATTTGCATTTGGCCACGGACTGTCTGCAAGTGCCAACTGCACAGAACTGAAAATCCAGGATCCTTGGCCAGGCTGCTCCAAAGGTTCACCACCAGCACTGCCACAACAGGAGGAAAAAAAAACCCAAACATTTGGAGCAAGTAATGTTTACAGCTGAGCCCTGATGGGACTGGAGCAACGCAGGTATCCCTGAACTTCTTCCCTGTATTTCAGAGACAAAAGGAAAACTCTGATTTGTTTGAAAGCTCCTATTTCTAGCTGAGCACGTGCAATAATTCTGAAGGGCTGAAGCACCTTCAAACACCATCCTTGAAAGTATCAGCTCGCCCTCCCTATGGCAGGAAGGAAGGCAGGCCCACAGCAGGGGCATCGAACCTTCCCACTCTCCAGCAGTGACTGAGGGTGATGATCAGCCCAGTAAATCCTGCTGAGTGGTTTTTTTTTTTTTTTCATTTTAAAAGAATAATCAATATGCAGCATCTTCCTGAGCAGAAAGATGCTCTAAAGGCAGGCTGATCCTTCCTCTTCCTGCAAGCCTTCCTGAAGGATTTCTGCATTTCTTGGACAGCGTGCAATGAACTTGGAGGGTGCAATTCACCGCACCAGGCACTGCTGGGAAACTGTAACTAGGAAATAGCAGCAGGGTCAGGTGCAAGGCTGGACTGCAGAGTCTATCTGTCCATTGTCAGCCCTGCCTACGAACCCAACACGAGCCCAGGGCAGGATCCAACGAGCCTGGCTCAGGCAGAGCCCAGAACCAAAGTTATCTTCAACAAGGACAATGAAATCTAAGGTAATTAAGTCATCTGGTAGCCACTAATAGAGCTCCTGGTCAATCCATTTGTCAGTGGAATGCACAATCATGTCCAGACTCCGCTGACCTCAGTCCTCTGATAACAAACAAAGCTGACAATTCACCAGCACCTCTGGTGTCTGAGAATCATCAGCGAATAACTAAAAGAACCAATACCCTGTTTTGGAGCAAAGCCTCATAAAGATTACATCTCTCAAACAACCTCAAGCATAAATAAATGTTGTGGCTCCTGGCAGGAACACCGAGACAAGAGTAATACTATAAAACTATTATTTTTAAGCACCCACTGCTGGCAGGCATTTTTAAATCCAGGCTGGAGATTTTCTTCCCTCTCAGATCCGTGTTCTAGATTTCTCCCCTAATTGCCATAAAATGGCCACACTAATGAATAAGTTCCCACCAGCAATATTAGTATTTAAATGCACCTGATAACGTGATTACCCTTGGGAAATGGTATCTTTCAGAGCAGCACAGTAAGTACAGGAGCATTTATATAACCAAACTGCTGCTCACAGCCACAAAATACACCCAATATTACAACAGACAAAACTGGGAGCTTTTACCCCATTTAAACAAAGTCAATTTGCTCCCAAACGTGCAGGAGCACGAGAAAGAAACTACTTCAGGCCATTTTTATGTTCCTGGAAACGCAGTAGGAGAAAAGCTGGGTGAAATACCTCAGAGAAGCATTTCTTGAGTGACTCTGGGACCTTCCCATCAACCACGTGCAGCATCTTCTCCATCTCATCCCGGACCACATAACTCCCAGACTCGTTAGAGAAGAGACTGAAGATATCTGAGGAAACAGAGATGTGTCAACAACCAGGGCAGTGACATCTGTCAGATTTGAAGTTTACAACGGGCTGAGAATGCCAAAGGCTGGGCCAGGGCTAAAGGAATAAAAACTCTGGTTGATCCAGCTCCAGTAAAGCTCAAATAGAGGTTTAGGTCAAGATGTCCATTCTCTTTTACCTTTGTAATCCATATAGAAAGAAAAACGCACTGAATTTCAAAAAATACGGCTAAAAATGTTTAAAAGATCCTATTTATTGGAAAATGTGTGCCCTGGTTACATATAAAAACAGGGACCACAATTCCTGTTTGCTTTACACGAGGGTATTTACACTCCCCACCCACAATCTTGTTGCTGTCCGAAGTTCCATCACTTACATTTTGTTTTCTCTTCCTCTCTGCCTCTCGTGAGCAGAACTAATCCAACTATCAAGTTATTGAAGTGCAGCCCTTTGGATATTCCTCCAAATGAACAGTAGATAACCTAGGAGAGTAAAGCAGAGAAGTTAACCAAGACCAGGGCAAACAGAGAGGAAAGGAGTGACAGCAGCAGCTCACACTGAGGCTCCATCTGATGTGTGGTTTAGGCTTCTCTCCTCCCATTCACCTAAACAGGCTTCAAATATTAATTGCTACATTTCTGCAGCTCTTCTGGTACCTGTAAAACAGCCTTGCCAGGGTCTTTTCGTCTGTGAAACAACAGGGACTCGTCATGAAGAGCAATATCAAACCCCACGTTAGAACCCTCCAGTGAAGGTAGCTTCTGGCTTGCTCAGGGGGTTACTTCTCCAGACTTCTTTAGCAGGGAAATGAAGATGAAATCTCCTCCAGGCTGGGCTTTGACAGGCTCAAAACCATCAGGGGGATTGTTGGAGCATCAGGTGTTTCACTGCCCCTGTCCCAGGAGAGGCACCTGCAGTGAGCCACGAACAACTGCTGCTGCTCCAGAAAGGTGTGAGACACCAAACCCAACCAACCATCCTTCATCAGCTGTGCCTCAACCACCCCAGCACTGCAACTGGTCCAGCCTGGTGCCCTGCTCTGAGAGCAGGATTTACATCTGCCTCCCCAGAGAAAGCACCTGAGATCAAGAACTGCACTCGGAACTCACGGCAGGATCCGCAGTGCGGCACCTGCAGCCAGCTGAGGACGGGCTGAAGAACTGACCTTTCCCACGGGAAAGGAAAAGCCCCAGTTCTGGAAGGGCTGAAGAATTCTCCTCTGCCAAGAAACAGGCTGCAGCCTTTCCCAGGAAAAGCCTGGATGCTGCAGCCTCACTGCCCCATCAGCACCTGAGCAGTGACTCAACGCTGACACACGAGATAGGAAGTCACTCTGCCATTTTAGGACATACAGCAACTCCTTTCAGTAAACAAGGATTACCAACTCTCCTGTTGCAATCCATCACCTTGGCTTCAATTCCCCAGAGTGGACCACTGTTTGGTATAAATAAAAGTAAATTCAGCTTCCTTGGTAGTTTAATCACTTCAGTGATGTAAATCACAAAGTGACACTTCTCAGAGACAGCTCTGAGTGAAGATGGAACAAAACCAGCAGCACTGAGAGGAAACCTCTGTGAGCAGGTGCAGTAACATCACTGGGAGGGCTGAACCTGCAGCTTTTCCTATTAAAAAGGCAGAAGAAGACAACTGAAAATTCCCAGTGAATACACTATATGGCTACTAACTTCCACACCCGCTGAGGGTGGCACGTGTCACCTCTGAGACTCTTTAGGACGATGATGTCAGGCTCAAAAACGAGCATCAGAAACGTCTGGTGACAAAGCTCAGACTGGGCTGTGCTTCCTCAAGGACCTGAGGAGATGGGATTCTGCAAGAGCCTCACAAGTGGAGTAAGAAGAAAGTTCCTGGAACCCAAATCCCTCTTTCCTTCCCCCCAGCCCCGGTGGTGAATCCTCAAGGCCAGAGCCCCGTGAGTCACTGCACTATCACAGGGCTGGTTTCCACCTCAAGGCAAAAACCAAGCCAGGACTGGGAGTGACCAAACAAAACCAGTCCTGGGCTGTCAAGGGCACTGGTTAGACCTGGCCAAGCCCCACAGTGCTGTGGTGGCAAGGAGGAGATAAGGGAACACCTCACCCAGAGTGGCTACACCAGATCTGCTGCTGCTCTGCAGCCTCCCTGGAGACACCTGGACATCCTTCTGAGCCAAAAATTCTCCCCTGGCCCAGCCCATCCAACCCCTGCCCACCATCCAAATATGTCTGCAGGCACGGCAGTGTAAATGGTATCAGCCAAATATTGCATTTATGCATTATTTCAACACATTGTCTGCTCCTGATACAAACACAGAAGAGGAATTCCATGGGAATGCCCAATGTGTCTGTATTTAATGGGTGTAATTATGACCATGGGCAGCTGGCACTGCTTGGAGTTTGGCTGCTTAACCATTGCTTGGGAAGAGTTTCTAAACACTGGATTAACATATAACACAGAATAACATAGAACAGATTAGGGTGCATGTCTAGAGAAGGGGCTCCACAATTTCTCACACTGATGTGCTATCTGAGAAATTGTAGCAATACGCACCAGCAAAAGATGATGCAATTTTCCAAAATTACTTAATACTGTTGCAGCTTTACTTAAAATAGCCACACCCTGACTATCACAGCAATTTACATTTCACAATGCAAAATTTAGGACAGTTGTATGGTACAAAGTAATAGTTTTTTATCAGATTTGAGTCTGACACGTTATGGTCCATGACGAGCACGAAGAGAGGGTTCTTTTCTGTTGAGAAGCAGCCTCAGCCTATCCAGGCAGTTCCCTCTGGGTCCCAATCCCTGGCCCTGTGCCCAAGAGCTGCAGTAAAGGCTGCTGGGAGAGCAGGAGATGCTCAAGACGTTCTCCTGGCTCCTTTCTCCGGAGTAGAAAATGTCCTGGATTCCTTCCTGATTTTCTCCCTCTGACCCCTCTGCTCTCCCAGTCCTTGGGAATTCCGTGTTCCCGTTCTGGCAGCCCCCTCAGCGTGTCCCTCATGTCCCTGCTGGCACCATCCCTCCTGTCCCTGCCTCTCTGGGGCTGCAGCTTGGTAACCAGTGAGTCACCCCGGGAGAAAAAGCTGCAGTGCCACTCAGCTCCTCGGTCAGGAGCGCTGAGTGCTGTGCACAGCCCACCTCACAGTCCTCCTGTGGGTATTTATAAGAGATGGAATCTCATGAGTCACTGAAATGACTGCACTGGCCAAAGTTAGGAGCTCCTTTCTCACCACTGTTCTCCTCAGTCTAAAATAGATAACTATGAGAAAAAGCCACCTTGAAGCATCATCATCATCATCCTCATCATCCTGTCCTTGCACCTCCTCTGCACGACACCTCTACCATCCAGGTGCCCACAACTGCACATGGTGATTCCATTAGTTCCTTGCATATAAAACCAGGAGCTGTTCATCCTTCTCACCACCTGCCCAGCTCTCCTGCAGTTAAACAACATACACACCCAGCACAGCTCCTCGTTGCATTTCATTAATATCTCCATTTGCCAGGAGATCTCTCGAGAACGTCGCTGTCCTGAACACGTAAAAAATGGTTTGTGTGTGTGTGTGTGTGTGTGACCAAAGTTGCACTGCTTTCAGTTCCCTGTTCTGTGCTCCCTCTGCACAACTCCTGTGTTTTTAATTTAACAAATTCCTGAAGGCCCATCACTACTCAGACATGAGAAACTATTACTCAGAACATGCAGAGCAGCCAGCCCAGCAACCTGAGGCTGCAAATGATCTGGTTTAATGACTGAAAGGCTGAAAACCCAGAACAAGCTCTTTAGCTGCCTAATGACTCTGCCTGCCTTTCCCCATCCTGCAGCCAGCAATTACAGAGCCTCCCTGCTCAGGAGGAGCAGAATCAACCCTGAATTTTGCCCAAATTTACAGTATTCCAGCTCCCAGATACGACCCTGCATTGCCTGAGTCTGACAAGTACCATCATTGGCACTCGAATTTTGAGATGAGTTCTGATGAGATGCCATCAAAAATCAATTATGACTCTTCCATTAATTTTATTCCACCACCTGGAAACCAAGGACTGCTGTATAACCAGAACGGGTGTTAAAAGACATAACCATCACAAAATTGTCTCTTTAAGGACAGATTTTTAAATAAATAAAACAGAGAGTGGCCAGCAGACAGCTGAAAACCCAGAATATCTCTATTTGTGACTATATCAGTAGTTGAATCCTTAATACTGACTTAAAAAGGATACAGTAGTACAAGTTAATATAAAATGCTGAGAATTATTTCAAATCCATTGTGTGCAGTTGATGCATTTTTTTGTTTAGTCAAAAGAATCCAGAAAACACCCTCAGAAATTAATACTGAAGAGAGGCTTTCACCCATGGGCAAATCACATCCCTCTTTTTAATCTCCTGGTGTTAACACAGACGTGGAACGTTTTCCTGGGAAGCCTCAAACACCCACACAGTTTACAGATGCCACACAGTGGTATCATCCTCTCTGTCAGCACTTTGGAAAACCAGGGGGAAAAAGAATGGGGAGAAGATGAAGCTCAGGGAAGAGCAAGCATGGCAGGGTGTTCACTCACACTGCAGACCTGCAGGTGCCCGTGAGCTCAGCACCGCTGAGGACCCCAAAAACAGGAGCTGTGACTGCAGATGACAAGGAGCAAGGTGTCATTTGAAAGCTCTGCCTCATCTTTTTTTCCCCTCTACCAAGAATACTTTAATTTCTCTGTCAGGCAGAAGCTATGAAAGAAAAATAATGGCTCTGCAACAAATTCCCAGTCTTTGACTTCCCCAGATCTACGTCTGGATAGTCATTTAATTCCAGCTCAGCTCCCACCCATCTGTGGGGTGGAATTAGCTCAGTCCAGCCCACATCCCTGCTACCCCGTGCCTGGAACATCATCCTCAGGTGAACAGCAGGTTCAGAGCTCACCTCAGCAACTTTTGGAGGGACTCCATCACCAAGAACTTCCCTGATGAAGCACTGCTGGGTCATATAATAGGAGAGGCCACAAGTCCTCTTGAAAGCATCTTTCAGCCTCTTCAGCTCTATGTCTGTAACTGTTGAGTGAGAACAGAGAGGGGGAAAAAAAACCAGTCAATAAAGATGTTAGAGAAAGGTAACAGCTTAAGGAATCCCAGAGTTCTGCATGCCTTGCGTTTACCTCTCCAATAAAAAGACACAAAGAAATTAAATGCATGATTTCATCTAAATAGTGGGGAAATGTGACTACTAGAAAATGAGATCTAATAATCTAATCTTGCTTGAAAGGAGAGAGGGGAAGCAGACCTATAGTTAACATCAGTGTGAGCACCAGTTCACTGTCTAAGTTTTCTGACTTCAATGGTGTATTATAATTTGTTCTAAATTCAGCACCATTATTGTCACACAAAGGAAAATGAGCCAGTTTTATGATCAGTTTTACACTGCATGCAAGCCAGAGGAATTATCTGCAACCAACAGTGGTGAATATTATTAAGAGCAGCTCCAACAGCATCTTTCAAGCAGCTGCATCCTGGAACCAGTCTGATTTTCTGCTTTAAAAACATAAAATACCTCCCCCCCACTACCTGCTCATGAGACAGTGCAGTGAGGTGTGATTTAAGAGGGATAAAACTCAGGACTACGTGGAATTCCTCACCCAGGACTGCCTTGCCCAGCCAAACTCTGCCTGCCAGCCCCACCTGCCCAGGCCTGTTCCCAGCTGGGCAGGTGGAGAATCTGCTGCCCTGCCATCCCATCCCAATCCCATCCCATCCCTGCCTGGGAGCTTCCTGGAAAGCAGGAAACCCTTCGAGCTCCCAGGGCACAGAGCAACTTTCTAACCAAGTGTTTGGGAAGGGAAGTGCCTCGTGGAACAAAACAAGCCAAGCCTCAGGGACAGCACAGCTTGGCCTGGAGCCCCCTGGAAGTCCCCCAATGGTGCAGGGTGATTTATTTACCAGGCAGGAGCTGCACAAAGTGATGCTGCACGTGGGAGCTGGGCCACTGTATTTATAGCAAGGCATTTTCCTAACCCTGCTATCACCAGCCAGACAGAATCAACGCTGACATGGCCAAAGGCTCGTCAGGGCTTTTTGTCAGCCAAAATAAAACAGAAGCCTTGAGGGCTTAATCCAGCCCTCAGTAAAACTTCTACATTTCACTTAATTCATTCATCAAAAGAAAAATCAATCCTTAAAAGCAAATCACATTAAAACATTCCTCCCCGATTTTAATCCTTGTCAACACCAAAACAGACCATTGGCTCTGCTTAACAATTGTGTTTAACACCAGGAACTGGGTTATGTTTCTGCTCAAATTTTATTACAGATTCTGAGGACTTCTGACCAAGGGGAAAAAAAAAAAAAAAAAGAAATCCAAGTATTTCAGAACTAAACCTGCTGCAGTGTGACCCACACAGCACCAGGGCTATCAATTAGCACAGTGGTGATTAGCATCATCACGTATCTTGCTTTCCTGAACCAAGCATGCTGTAATTACATGGCAGAGGAATGTTGGGATAACACTGTTACCTGCCTCGTGTGGTGTTTAAACCTCACTATTTCATAACAACACCTGTCCAGAGAGGCAGCTGCTGCTCCTGTGTCCCCACGTGGGATGATGCTTTAATGAGCACTCCGAGAGGACAGGACTGAGGTGCTTCCCCTCCCCTCTGCTGCACAACTGCAGAGTTTCCAGCCAACAGGGACATCCCTACCAGGTGCTGGGTGAGCAAAGCCTGGGATGGCTCTGGGAACACGGCAAGGGGAAGCTCCTGGCTTGGTTCTCTTGGCAAGGTAAAGTAAAAACAACCTGCATCCCAGGCTAAACGTAGCAACAGTTCTTGATGAAAATATTCCCATTTGTTGCAGTTTTTCTACCCATCCACACACACAAAGCTTGTCCCCAGTACTACCAAGACCTTCAGAGAGAACGACACTATCAGGATATTTAAGAGAAATGATGAGTTGATACTGCCAGCCCGTGTTATATTTCAAAAGCAAGTTATTAGTGCCAGAGACCACTTTAATATTATTGTTTGCATGCAGAAAGTACAGAACAGGTCATGGACTAACAGCAAAGGTAATTACTTCCATTCCTTCCCCAGCAGCCATTAAAATGACTGATGCTGCCCATTTACAATCATCTGCAAAGCTTTGTGAAGAGAAGTTCATCAGACATTTAGATGCAGGCCCACCAAATACAACCGAAACGAGCAGAGCATAAATCAAAGATATTATCAATGTTTACTGTGAGCCTGGAAGACAAAATATTTGAACACAAAAAATCCCAACACCAAAGTACCAATTACTCAGCACAGGGAGATAGAACACGATGGGGTGTTGAGAGGAAATAAAACTAAGCATTGAATTATTAAAGGAATATTTCCAGGAGCAATCCATCTACTACTATAACAACACTAGGAATTAGAACACTCCCACCCCCCAAAGCCACCTCTTCCCCCTCAATTCCACAAGCCCTGCACACGAAGCATCACAGACCAGGGAGGTATTTTTAGTCCTTTAGATGTAAGCAGAGCTGACAACTCTGCTTCCTAAAGTTCTTTCATGAAGTATGTCCACTTTTTCCACAGTCCAAACACTTTGAGGAGCCATTTGGCTCCAAACACCTCCAAAAGGCCATTCACAAGCTGCTGCCACCAGACACAGGAGGCAGTCACGACTAAATACACTAAATAATGTTATTGCACTCATAGCCCCACAGAGAGAAACTCCCAACTTCCCAAAAATAAGTTCATGGCAGTCAACACAGCAAAACCCACCTCCTCAGCACAGCAAAAGCCACCTCCACATCACACCTCCCAATTGCAGGTGGCACCCCCTCGAAATGACTGCGGGGAAAGCGATGGGATTGGAACTGCAGATCTAATCCTCCACACCTCCCAAGTTACAGAAGTTAACTTTTTATGGGAAGGCTCTCATTCAAGGGAACAAAAGCGAGTTTCAGTAGTTAGATACTGTATGTTAATTCTTGAAAATATATACATATATCTACTTACTTCCAAAAATCACCATCGAAAGAAACGGTGTTCTCCCCAAAAGAAGGCACAGGCTGTCACTGTGCTGGGTTAACTTTGCTAACACAGACCTCGGTGCTACCTCAGCTGGAGGGTTTCCAGGAAAGCTGGAGACACTTTAACAGGAGATTAGTGCTGCATCCAACTCTCCAGGGAATATTGGAGCTCCAGTTTGTTTAATAAAGTTTAAATGAAACCACGCAACCTCAGCTAAAAATGTCACCCAGCTTAAAGTAATTGCACCAAAGCTCCAGCTCACCGACTGCTGAGGGTATTTTTAGTTCCAGTGTGTTACTTAAACTCCAGACTGTTTATATGGATGTGCTAATGCCCATCTACCCAGGTGATGACTTGTGCAGTGCCTTCCAAACCAGTCCCGTGCTGGAACCCGCCCTATGCTCTGCCCTCACCCCATATTTATCACCAAGTCACCTGGACTTTCCTTTCAGGCCAAAACCGTGTCTGAAGCTCAAACTGTGCAAGTGCAGGTGCCCAACTCAAGGTAAACTTTACACCTATAAATCTGGCCTGAATTTCAGAGGGGATCCCACTGCTGCCAATGGGATTCTGTCTCAGAAAAAATGTGCTTCATTTCTGTCGATGCCTCATGTTGGATACCCCCAGCCTGGGCTCCAGAGGTGATGTTCCATCTGGAAACACAGCTGAAGTCACCACCCTCCTCCTCCTTCAAACTCAGAGGGCTGTGAGAAACCCAGGCTGACTGTCTGAATCATTTACTGTCTAGTACTCAAATGCTGCAGCATTGACACGTGCCCATCAGCTGCCCCCAAGTTCAAAGCCTGTTCTGTATAAAATCTGTAGCCCAAGCATTGTACATAAACCCCTAATTTACATCCCACACAGCTCCTCTTCCAGCAGGAGAAACCAATCTTTTCTGCTTTCCCAGGCTGGAATGTTCAAGCCCAGCTTTGGAGGTACCTTCAGTTCTGCTTCAACCACGGCAGGTCCTGCAGCCACACCCGACAATCTCTGCTCACTTCAGACTCCTGTCTTTGCACACCCTGCAGCCCTAATGCCACCCCCACCTGCCTGGCTTTTACCCTGGGAGGCCCCAAAACCCTCTGTGAGTGTGGTTCAGGTGCAGCACAACCAGCAAAGGTCACCCTGAAAGGCCCTGGACAACTTCAGAGCTGGGACACAAACACTCATCTCAGCAAAAGCTGCTCTGCTGTTACCAGACTGCTGGGGAAATTTATTAAGAGTCATCATAAAAATGTGACTGCATGACTAAATGCACCTAATATTGATATTTTTGCTGGTTCACTTCCTGTTTTGGAGAAAGAGAGAGAAGAAAATGGTGACATCAAAGCCAGTTTCTCACTGATCAAAGCACCTACAGAGCATGTTCTGGGAGACTTCCTTGGAGACCAATGAATCTACACTAAGATCTGCAAAAATCACCTCAGCAACGTTTTATTCAAATACTGCGAAGAAAGTACTCAAAACCTTCCTTAATTATATGTATATATAATTTTGTTAATGATGCAACCCCAGAACAGCAGTGACACCACTCAGGCTGGTGGATTGACTGCAGATAACACAATTACTGGATGGCACAGGCAGGGAGGACGAGCACAAGGAGTGCATTTTCAAGTCCTATTTCATGTTTACCTGGGAAGTCAGAGCAGCCACGAGAACACCTTCCCTGACAAAGCTTTCCCCTCTTTTCTTCAGACTCCAAACTCCCTGCTGTAAATTGCTGGGATGAGACACAAACCCCAGCCTTCCAAAGCGGAGCAAAGGGGAAGAGGAAAAGCATTTGCACTCTTTAAACTGCCTGAGACATTCAGGCAAGAGCCACTTAACCTCTCTGTGCCTTCTCTCCACACTAAAATGGATCTAAATTCCAGTCTGCAGCAGGCAGATGTGTGATAAATGATCTAAGATGCTGCACAAGTACGACGAGCTACTAAAAAGCTGCTTTAATCACTCAAAAGGGCAGAATCCCAAGAGCTTAACTGAGGGAAGGTGGAATTAATCTGCCCTGGCTGCTTAAAAACTGACCAATTACCATCACCT